AATTGTCATTATTGTAAAACATAAATTCCCATGAAAATTCGACATGTATGATCGGTCTCAGTTTATTTCCATAAATGTATTTCATTTTGCTACGTGTAATACCTTAAAAGCATATCAAACTGCGCTTCTTTGTGTGTTAACCGTATTGAAGAATAATTATCCTGAACGAATTTTTTATCAATTTAGATCTTAATCTCAATTGTAGTTGAAGCATTAGTTTTACTGATTGTGAAGGGTGAGATTATTATTGTAATAGCCATTCATTTTCTATCTTATAATACATGTAACTATGTTTTGTTGGATTTTTTTTTGTATAGCCTGGTATAGAAATGATTTTGACAAGTGAGATGTGACGGCTAGTTTCGATTTTAATCGACTTTTCTCCTTTAGAATGCCGCTGTTATTCATTTCTATTTATTATGTTCCTGCCTTCAGATTTAGTTTGTTAAGCCATGATACTGATGAGATTACTGGGTCAGCTATGAAGTTTTAATGGTAATTTCATCTTCTTACTGATGATAAGGGAAAAAAGCTTCCTCTCACAGTCACTGCGATACAAGCAATGCCCTTTCATATTGTGCTTCTTAATGACATCTGACAGTGTTAATATAGAAGTGAATTTATGTGGTCCATTTCACTCTGGTCTTTTCATCATATTGAATGGAAGTGCGTTATTGCAAATTGAATGTGGGATTAAAAATTTGATTGAAAGATAACCAATTTGTTGGAATTGCTTCTAATGATATGAGGTGTGATTGAATTCGTCATATCCTCCGGCGTTTGTTCTTTCAATTAAAAAGAAATCTTCGAAATCACCTGAAAAAAGTCAATATTTTCAATTACAGCGTCCTAATGAGTAGTTGGGAAGTAAATTAGAAAATGAATCATACAACAGCTGTGAATAGCAAATGTATTTTAAGAAACTCTACATTAGTGTAATGGGTCATTATACCAGACGATTTTATTCAATTTTAATCGTTCATATTATTCCCTAGAATTAATCATTATTGTAATTGTTCGTCGTAGTTTATCAAATATACTTACAGCTTTTCCTTTCGAATTTTTTATAAAACTATTTGTTTTTGTTCTGTTTTTTGTTCTGTTTGGCAACTTCTGTATACTCCATAAATTGTACGTGACACTTATTGTTGCTTCTCTCTCTCTCCCTCTCTCTCTCTCTCTTTCTCCCTTTCTCTTTCTCTCCCTATCTCTCTTCCTCTCTCTCTCTCTCTCTCTCTCTCTCCCAGTCTCAATCATTCAAATCATACACAGACGTGTTCAAACCATCCAATTTTGATTGCGGCGATAAGATTACCCCGACGAAAAGAAAATTTAAAGATTTAAAATCACCTCACAACCAACCTTTCATTCATCCTACTCCTCCCTTAATGATATCAGTTTGCAAAACACAATTCACTTTTCAATCAACATAAAGATCCTGGGAAATTAGCCTACAAAGATGTTATCTTGCTAGCATAATGATAAAGGATATCTTTGTGTGGATGAAATGTCTCAATTTGAAGAAAAAAATCATTTGTATTGGAATTGTAATTGAACCTTAGGTCACATTTGTGTCATTTTGTACATCGATGTAATATCTACAATTAGCCGACTTTGATCTTATCACCGATCATCACTAAGATGAATTGAGAAAAAATAAGAACATTCTGAAAACAACATTTTATTCCAAGAATGATAAAATCAGACACATGAGAAATATGGCTCAATATAGTCAAACAGCATTGTAGAGATAATCGATCATCGTACAGACTACAGGTCGTTATAAATTGATAAAAATTGTTTGAGTTATGTAATCAGTTTAGAATTAATCAGATATAAGAGTATACTAATAACTTTGGATGCATGCGTCTGATTGGTGGACTTAATTTGTAGATTCCTGGACAACGATAATAAATGATAAAGATCATTCATATTAACTCATCTTCCCAATTATAGCACGTGGTGGTAGTTTCGGTCCAATTCACGTTGTAAGGTCTCTCGCATTCTCTACACCGATCCACCACAACAGAAAGGTGCCGAAACACTCACCCTTGAGCGGCACAAAACTCCAAAAAGCTTCCCACGCGCCCCTAAACAAATCACATCATTTTCATACCTATTCATTTCTTCTCTTTGCTCTAGTTGAAAATCTAAACACAGCCAAGGTGAAATGGTGAATGAAAGCAAGCGAAACTTTGAATGGGTAGAGTGCAAAAACTGTCATTGACTTTTGTAGTCGTGCCAATTGAGGAAGGATTGGGTAATGTTATGAGGCACGATTACACGCTAAAACTAATCGTTAATCATCTCTGCTTACGATTCCATTTAATTCCATTTGGTCTTTTGTTTCCACATTAATTTTATCAACATCATAACAAGAAAAATTAATGATTCAATACCATATTATATAGATCAATACAATTACATCGCAATTCAATATTAGAATCCATTAAAAGCAGGAGTTTGTTTGATAAGGCACCTGCATTGAATGATTTAGAAAGAAGAAAAAAAAAACGGAGAGTCACATCCGACAAAAATAATGCAGTACATTATCTTTTTCAGATCATAACATATCCATAGTTTAATACTTTTTTTTTTTAAATACAGGGTGTATATCTTTTTTTCCTTTTTAAAAAGTAAATTTGTCTCTCAAACTTATCATTATGCGGCATGTTGACAGAATATTGCAATTCAAGTGAATACAATTCCAGATATTATTTAGCTCTTCAATTTAGAAATACAATTAATGTACAGTTATAAACTTTCACATAGGATTAAGATTTGATTTGATTTGATATGGATTATTGATAAAAACGTACATTCAAAATAGCAGCCAGAAGCTGAAACAAATTGAATTTACAAAAGATTAATGCATACAAAGGCATAACTTTAAAAATCGATTAGGTAAAATACAATTATGTTTACATTAGATTTCAAGATATGAATAATCAAGGACATAAAAATTGGAGAAAAAAAAGACAGAGAAACAAGAGAAGAGACTGAAACGGATGACTTATACTTTATATGATTTGCCTATATGGAATATACTTAGTAGTTTGTTTGTAAAAATCTTCTTCGAGGTGATGTGGAATCAATGTTTGAGACCTATCTACGGTAGATAGCAGATAAGCTATTTGATTTTAACCTTTATCATGATGTCTGTCTTCACTCTGTATAGAGATAGTATTAAAAGAAGAAGACAAACACAGTGTTAGAAATAGAGAGAGAGAGAGAGAGAGAGAGGGAGAGAGAGGGAGAGAGAGAAAACAAGACACATTTGAGTTTTAAATCATAGATTGAGATTTGTATGCCTCTTATGCATCTTTCATTCTCATTTTAAACTTGATTCATTAACACTTGTTAACTTACATGTATATAACCACTGCATTTGAATTTATTATTGAAAATATAGAATAGTTATAATAGCAGACCTGTTCACACCAAGCGCACGTAGCATTGACCTCTGGACGGTGGATTAATCATCATATGTGAACAAGGTCATTGATATGACTGGTGATTGAGTGCAAGGATCCGGGCTACTACGCAAACATAATGGCGTCCAAGTTCAATGAAAATCCGACGAGGATATTTTCCTCTTTTTCCCTCTGCCTTCACTATAAGCCGCGAGGTCTGTCGCGCTATATATCAAAGGAGTTGGATTTGAATGACGAATAACGCAATTTGTTGTTATGATAAAATAGTATTGATATCGCTTGATAAACGTCCCTGTAAGATATATAATGCCCAAGGTTCGCGTCCTCGGGATATACCTGGATAAGCCCCCAGGGTATAGGGTTAGGATGCCTGCCATTTTCCAGCGGTAACAGGTTTGGGAAAACTAATCATTTCTGCGGTATCGTTTTTAGTCATTATTGGTCCTGCTCTTATAACCAAACTAAATTAGCCATCGATTGTTGAATATTGGCAAAGAATACAGACTGGTCCATTGAAGCTGATCGTGTACCGTCATCAATGAATAAAAGAAAGCATGATTTAGTAGGATGAGGATGATGAAACTGCCAATGATGACTGGGGTGATGGCTCATTGAGCTTAGTGAATGAGGAAGATTTTCGTGAAAGGATGTGAAAGGGATTATGAATGTAATATTGACGGTGACTAAGTGGTGCATGGGCACAAAATCTGGGACTACAACAATGTTTATTTTCCGCAACATAAGGCAAAGATTCGCAAAAATTCAAAAGTCATGAAAGAGATATCTATAATTATTAATATGTGCATAGTAATTATAAAAAAAATGATTATATGGAAAATGCGGATTCTATAGTGTCCTTCACTAGTTTCGCTAAGTAGGTAACGTGATATGGTTTGAGGGTCGCACGTAAGCCCACTTGCTGTGATATAACACGCTTCCTGTTAAAGTGGGCGGAGTGTTATACCTGGCGGGTTTTCACCTACACAGGATATAAAATATTGACATTGACAGATAATGAATAGTAAACCAGGAAATATTGCATTCTTTCCGAAATCCTTTCATCTATGCCGCCTTAGTATCTTCAAGGGCCACTTTTTTGTTGTTGTTGTTGGGGGGGGGGGGTTCATTCATAGGATTTCTCATTGTTTTTCAATCTGGCTTCCTTCTTTTCTGATTTCCCCTCTTTATCTTTCCACTTGCTCGTCTAAGTTTGCTAAACTTGGTTTTCAGTCTCTTTTAAATTTTAACACCTTCATCAGTATATCTGTAAAGCGCTTAGAGACATCGTATAGACGTATATTAAGCAGCGCTATATAAAAGCGGAATATTATTATTATTATAATGATTCGCCCTCCTTGCTCATGTCTTTCTTTCATTCTTCATTGATCTCAACCTTCCTCTTATGTCGCTCTCCTCAATTCTTTTGAACCATAGGACATTTTCTATGAATTATAAACTACCCCTATACCATTTATGTAATCAATGAACTTGTGTACACAGAAACAGGAAGAAAAAAACAAGATGAAACTTTAATACTTATGTGATTCCATATCATCTTTATCTCAGTTTTCGAGCCTCATAATATCCGAGGGCAGATGCTTTTCCAGAATTTCGTCATGCTCAAGATGTTTCTTTCGGCCATCGTAACAAGCATCGTTTGGTTTAGCATCCTTTCGCTGCTCCCCTTCACCGCATCTAAGTTCCAGTCAGCACGTAATAACCTTGGTTGTCGGATGAACAGCAAAGGAGTAGCAGGAGCTGGTATTGGTGGTGCTATGTTGGGCATTGGTATGGCCTTGTCAGGAGCCGTAAGTCACCTTCCACTTAAATCACTACGCATTCAGATAAATTAAAATTAATTAATTTCATCGTTCAATGTGCTAACTTATTCCAAAAAGAGCACAATTTGTCAAATGAACTCAATTTATTCCTTCATCCACGTATAAAATGTGTTTTTCCAAACATGTCATGATCTCAAAAGTATGTTTTGCACAAAGTTATACTACAGAGAAAAAAACAAGACATCAAGAATGGATATCATTTAAAACATGTACAAAACCCCAAAGTGAACGAATAGATTTTATTGAGGCAAATTGTAACAACAGTTCTGTGTATGTTGCAACACGAAAAAGTAAAATATATTAATATCCTATTAAGATGAACAACAGCTAAAAACAGCTATGTCTTACATCAAATCGGGCAAATACAGAGTTTCAAACCGCAAAGTTGATTACCATTCAGCTTAGAGGTCAGGGAGAAACAGCGTTACATTTTTATCAATTAAAGAACCATTACACCTGTAATTATGTTTCGGAAGTCCTTGATTGAATCACAAATCCCGCCAATGGGACGATATAAATTTATATCTAAGCGTCATCAGAAAGTATAAATTTCATCATTTATTCCAATGTCATCGTCTTAGCGACCAGATGAACAATAATCATGGACCCTGGTATTCTCATTACTTTCCTATCATATTAAACGGAAACGTTTGTTTTTATGCGTTATATTATACCACCACCTTCTGATTCAATTAACAACACGAAACATCTATTCGCTAGATCAGATGAAGGCAATTCTCAACGGAAGCATTCTGCGTTGAGTGAATTCCTGCATGGCCTAATAGTCCAATAAGAAGAAGAATTTCTTGCAAAACTTGAGAAATCCTTCGATACAAAAGATGTTTACCATTTTATCTCCATCTCATCCCCAGGGAGTAGCTGTTTTGTTTAAATGCTATTCTAGTCCATCCTTTTCTATTTACAAGTGTCCTTGCTTGCATGGTCGATTGCGTATACATTTGGAAGCTTCTTTGGATTATCTTATATGACGCAATGCCATTACAATTATTTTTTAGCGGATTAGTCCCTCAGCTGACACATTGCAAAATCCTCGAACTCTCTCGCAATAGCCACGCTTATGTAAGGCTTTACCATATAGAGAATCCAAAAAGTAGTATGGATAAATGTAATCTGGATTATCTAATGTTCCAGATTATAAAAATAACTCAAACCGCCATATTTTGTTATATCACTTATGATTATCATCACCGTTATCCTGGCTCGTTCTCTTCACTACCTCTGTTATTACCACTCTCCCTCCACCATCCATTCCTCACCACCACCACCACCACCATCCATCACCACCACCACCACCACCACCACCACCACCACCACCACCACCACCACCATCATCATCATCATCATCATTATTACAACAAGCCACCACCACTACTACTCCACAACCACCATCGTCACTATTATCAAATTACCCACCACCACCACCACCATATAACCACTGCCTCCACCACCAACATCACCAATACCGGTGCGTCAACGATAACCTCCACCAAGAAAAACAATTACTAATGTTCTTCGTTGCTTTCCCCCCTAGTGTCCAGGAGCTGTTCTGATCGAAGTAGGAGCCGGTGTGCAACATGCAGGTATTAAAGAAACTTTCAATTTAAACAGTCACTTGAAGTTTATTGTTTCTTCATGATCACCACAAATTCAATTAACACGCTATTCGACCTAATAATTCTTATTGTTTGCCTGATTTGAAAGGGATACAACATTAATCCACATAAGCAATGCTCCGGCTATTATACAAAATAGTTATGATCATACAGATATTACTTGATACTTGATATTATGATGATACTGTAGTGTAAATGCAGTTTATGTTTGAACCAAGTTCATAGTGTCCTGATAATGTGTATAGTTTTCTACATATATTTTGCAGCTGAATATCGTCAATCATTTGCTTTCAATTTTCAAATGATGATCATGATGATTGGATTTAGAAGATACCATTTAAAATCAGAAAAATGGTAGGGTAATCCACCAGACCCCTTCAGTAGAGAATTGCAAGGTTTCAGGACAAATCAGTGGAAGTATCTGCACACAATTGAAATTTTCAAAGAACCATTAGTCCTTTTCTTTCGGTCATTCTTTGGAGCTGTTTTTACATTATAAGAACTGTTACTCAGTCTGTGCATGCTCTGAAATAATTAGCCATTCGAGAAAACACTTTGGTGTGGCATGAATGCTTAACCATGCACCCATCCCTCGTGAAGAAATATAATAGAAAAGAATAACAGTCTCTCGTAAATTGCATTGAAGATGGCGGTTTTAACTGAATGCGGAAATTACTTCTGTCATGTTTCTTTCTCAGAAAACATTCTAACAAGATCAACAAATAAAATGAATACAACATAAAGGAACTGAATACATCCAAGGTTTGGTGGTTATTATAGAGGCTTGGTACAATAGTTACGATGGGTTATAATAACTTTGAAGTAACCCACATTTTTTCCAAGGTAATGATGGTGAAAAACACGTAACCTTTGTTCCATAAAAACTCTTATTTCGATACAGGTATGACGTTTGTTGGATGTCTGATTGGAGCAGTGCTATATGGATTTACAGAACAAACCTTCAACAGAATGATCAAACCCGCCAAACAAATCACAGTTGGAAAGTAAGTTATTGCAACAAACGTTCAGTTTTTCCTTTCAAACTATTTATAAAATAGTAAAATTATCCGGTGATTTAAGGGGAATTAAGAAAACATAATATTAATTTTGTATAACCTTCATTCTATTGAGGCACAGTTCATGACCTCACTGACCTCACTGACCTGGTATAAGAACTTTATATCTACATGAGAGAGAGAGAGCACAAACACGAAATATACCAAACAACAGTGAAGAATTAGATGAAAAGTGAAGGGAAAAAGGGACTGCAAAATCATGAGTTGGAGGTACAATAAGAAGAAAGATGAGTGGCCATGGAAGAGATGGAGAGAGAGAGAGAGGGGGGGGGGGGGGAGAGGAGAAGAGAGAGAGAGAGAGAGAGAGAGTTAGAGAGGAATGGAATGAAGCGAGATATAGAAAAGGGAGCATGCACCATAGCTCGTATGAATGATACAAGCTATACTTTGTAAAACGTAAACATGGTAAGATAACATGCTTTTAAAGTTTGGCATCGATCTTTGTGTCTTTATAATTGTAACAAGTCGATATGAGACGGTTTCATGTGGGATGATGCTGTTCTATTTTTGTTTACAATGAGCTTGACTTTGACCTTGACGAGGGAGGATACTGGGGTGAGTAGCGAATCTTGTGATAGGTCCCATGCCAGAGCTGCCCGATGATGCGATGAGAGACATGTACCTGGTGTCTGTTGGCGGCTCCTAATCACATAATTGTTGACTTTTGGGGCGATTCGACGAGTCACTTCCTTTCTCTCTTTGCTATTGTCTACTGTAATTGCTTTATTGTACACCTGTGCTGTGTAGTCTCGCTACTATAGACCTATAATCTCTCTTTATTGAATTCAACCTGACAAACTGAACTGACATTTCTTTTACATTAGTTTATACACTTTGGGCCCCTCCTTGTTAAAACCGATTTTCATCATCTGGGCGGTATTTTAGCTCTTTCTTTTCATGCGCGAGGGAGCGATTTAAAATTTTGGAGTGCTCAGTAGAGAAAAACGGTTATAACCAACTTTAACCATGTTTTAAAGTCTAGATCATTATCATTTTTTGTTTTGTTAAAATGACTGAGTTATTAACAGCTATAATGTCCATCAAACGCGTTCAAGCGCAATAATAATTCCATTGTAGTTTACCTGCATAATATTATTAAGATGATTTCAAAAGGAATAATATGAGAGGAAATACCGTTTCATTTGAAGACTACCTATCAAGTAGAGCTATTGCCTGGAGATATAGCTGGCATAGACCTCAATTCAATAGAGAAGGGGAAGGTCATTATGAGATCTGATAAAAGATGACAAGTCGACAAGCGGAAGATGATGAACGGTACCTCAAGAATCTAGGCTGCATGGTTGAATGAGCTTGATGACAAGTTTGGACAGGGGTTCGAATCACCTTTCTATATCACCTAAGGGAAAGTGTGAGAGGGCAAGAGAAAGAGGAAGAGAGAGAGGGTGGGAGGGAGGGAGGGAGAGAGAGAGAGAGAGAGAGAAAGAGAGAGAGAGAGAGAGGGAGAGAGAGATGGGAGAGAGAGGGGTGGGGTGGAGGAGTAGGAAGGGGGTGAACTAGGGAGAAATGATGGTGAGGTGGAAGTGAAATAATTTTCCAACCCCTTCATACTGCCAAATGCTCGAAGGGACAACTCCAACTAATTCATCAGAGATGAGTGAAATTGATCTGCATTTGCCACTCTCCACCCAAGGTGTGTATGGGTTCCTGGGGGGAGGGGTTCTTGAATGCTGTGAGCACCGGAATCGTTAGCCTATCACCTTGCATGGTTGATGTGAGCAGCTTGAAGTTTATTATCCAAACAAAAAGAACATCAATATAACAATAAAATGTGAATGTATAACATTAAAAGGATAAATGGGACCAGAAAATGGTAATCGTGTCGGGTACTACTAACACACAATAGTATCACAACAATGAATGAGAATGTAATGAATAAATATGAATAATTATTGAATACATTAACATTTGTGATATTAAAATTCTACGAAATCAAGACACTGATGCTTTCTCCCGTACTGATAGGGGTAGATCATTCCAACATCATTAAAGTTAGTATTGTTATCGTCAACAAATTGCGTGTACATGTACACAAATTGTATTGAACTTTATAAATGATGTACAAATATACACCCCAACACAACGTAGCTAACAATTTGTTTTTAAAGAATGGATTATGATAATCTTTAAACACAATATAGGTTAAATTGTCTATGTTATTTCGGCATCGTGAATCTGTAAAAAAAAATTGTGTGTGTCTTATACCATTCCTGAATATAAGTAACTGACAGGGAGTTACCACAGTGCGTTACATGAGGTCCAAGGGTGTTTTTTTTAAATATAAAGAAAGAAACGGGGGCGTAGTTAGACAAGCTATTAATACTGATCAAATCGTAATTGTCTCCTGATTTCTACAAGGACATATCTCTGTTAGACATGCGATTAAATCCAAAGAAGAGACATCGACCGATCTCTGACCTCATGAAAGCACTTTGAAACTTCCTAAGAGCTCTTGGACTTTGTTTTATTGTCAAAGCAATTATCGTCTGTACTGTTAAAAAAAAGACTTCTCAATATTTAAAGATGAATTAAACAAACAATAGGTATCGGAATACGTGGAGATTAGCACACCAATTATACAAAATCTCCCCCTTCGCCCCCCCCTCCCTTCTCTCTTTCTCACTCTCTCCCTCTCTCTCTTTCATTTGTGACATGCGTTCCTCTGTTTAATAAGAAAATTACGTCCTTTTTTCCTCCTCAGTACACTTTTTATATTCATGTTCATGCATTTTCACTGGAGAGAACACAATAGAAGTTTGGAAGATTCCCAAAACCAAATATGATGTCACTGATCTAGACGGATTTGATGCAGCACCACTGTAACAATGTCAGAAATTGATGCGGTACACCGCAATGTTTTTTTTTCTCCCCGTCTTTATCAAACTTTATCATCCCGATTTTTGTTCTTTCCGATAAGTTTTGTCACATCCATTACCACAAGAATGTTTCGATTAACATACGTTACCACAAACCACATAGCTTGTTAAGTAAGAAACGACATGAATGTTTTAGACATCTCTATCAGCCTGTAGATTCTTTTAGAAACGACAGTGACTCGATCGTTACGAGAAAGAAAATAAGGAAGATCATTTTTTACGGCCTGTTGACTCTCGCATTTATTTTTTGTTTTGGACATGGCAATGACTAGTTTTACAGTTGCTATCTTTCTAAGAGATTGTAATCAATGGAACGTTTTTTTTTGAAATTGTGAGTTTGTGTCTTCTTTTCATCACTCCCACTCCTTTTCACTCCCACTCCTTGTATTATATCTCCTTATATCAATGTGAGCTTTGTCATATTAACTTATTAAAAAGAAGTCACTTTAGCTTGGTCATGTTAACTTGTAGCCTATCGTCTCCTATATATTCATGCAGGTTAGATGAGCATGTTGGTGTTCCTTACGTCATGTTGGCCTTACCGGTAGGCCTGGTCATTATTCTAGCCCTGGTCTTAATCGAATACCTGGCCCCATGGCAGACTGAGCTTACAGCTCCCAATACAAGTGATGTACCGACTGGACTGGTTGATTTCATATCACTCAGATCGTGGCCACCTGTACTGGCTGGTGAGTAATAGTCTGGTCACTTCTTCCATTAAACTATAACCACAAGCCTACTGTATATAACCACTTTGTTCTCTTCTTCAAATAGCCTGCAACAGACGAGTGAAGAAGAATCTTAAATCATTACATTTTGCAGCTTAGATAATAAGTTGATATACGGGTTGAAAGAAATGACAAAAGTGACAAGGATACTGGTTGGGGAGAGATTACCCGGAAGTCCGACATCCCACAAAACCAACATTGTCGATCTTGTGATCCCCCGGGTAACGTAATAGAAGGGCATCTTTGAATGAAAAAAAAAATATTAGCTGACAAGGGAAATCAAACCCATGAGTGGTGAATACATTTATCAAGACATGTCAATTTGGCAAACCCCTAGCTGGCACCTTTTCTGAAGGTCCATCAAACTTACATTATTGGTCTCGTGGAATGTAGTAGAAACAAAAACAAAACGAAAAGGAACATCAAGAATAAAAAAAAGACGGAGAGGGGAGGAGGAGGAGGAGGAGGAGGAATGAAAAAGAGGGAAGGATTATGCCCTGAACTATAGCTAGGAAACAAAGTTGCCGCAAAAGAAGTGGGCTTTGGGAGGATGAGAAAGAAGACAAAGATAGAGGATTAATGGGAAACCTAGTTGTGTTTTGAATCTGTCTAGGTCGTCCAACGATTCATCGTAAGTCATTCACCGCTAGTTTGGTTAACCTCATTATCATAATGGGGAAGGATTTAAGCTGTCACTGGCAATATAAGGATCAGCCCTAACCAGACCTTATCACTATTCCGTGTTGCACCCATCATCATTCTGGTATTATTGAGTCCATTTTAAAGACCGACCAGGGTCGTTGTTATAATTATACAGACATTAGATACAATCCTGGCTATGAAGGTCACCATGAGAGAAAAACAGTAAAAAGTGTCCGTTGTAGACAGGTTGTATTTATGTATACGTGACCATCGAGCATGATGCTGGTACCCCTACACTGACACAAACCAATCAGTCAATCAGCCATCGGATTCATTGAATTTGACGAAGGAAGTGGTTAATAAGGCTACTCTCCCGATGACTGTATCTCACAATACTCCAAAATACTATCATGTTCACCCATTCACTTGGCTCTCATTCATTGTTTCAATTGTACCCAGCATATATAGGACGACTGTTATGTACAGTTCTGCTGTGAATGTGTTGTTAGGCATGATTCTTTGATCTAATCGTCTACTTTAATAATTCATAGAGTATCAGGTGTACTTCTATAGGTCTACTGTCCGAAACCATACGTCAGGTGTTCGTATCAGCAGCTGACGACTCCCCCTACATTCTAAAATATATTATTATGAATAAGTTCCTTAACATCCTACTGGTGTCATGCTGCCAGATATAATGCAATATCATGCACCCTACATGACATTGTCTGTAGTATTCATATTTGATGTTTCGTACGTCTTCAGAAGGGAATACTATTTGCACTTTCCTAATTTTATTCTTTAATTTGACGATTAAAAAAAAAACATTGGTTCAATCAAAACGAAAATACTTTATCTATTCCTCATCATCATTGTTTTAGTATCTGTATTACTAGTAGATCATCAACATTTCTTTTCATTAAGCAATCTGTCATCCCACAATAAAAAATATTTGCCCCTCTTTTGGTGTATATAGGTGCCCTGGTAGGATGTCTTCAGCTACCCATCGTCCTGGCTGTAGATGAACCGATAGGTGGCAGTAGAGGATACTGTACCATGGTATCTCAAGTGATTCCTTGGAGTCTCTTAGAGAGATATTCACCGTACCTCAAGGCATCCAGAACAGGCATCAAGAACTGGTGGCAGGTGGGTTTTTAGTTTGTTTCAATATGGGTTATATAGGGGTCTCCTATGTCATATCGAAATCATATCACGATTTGATATATTCATGAAGAAGACTCTCCTCTCTGAAATTACTTTACTCTCCATAAATTTCCTCTTAGTCATTTTAAATAATATATTATCACAAATTAATCGATCTTTATTGATTTGGGTTTTAATTTACATTATGGAAACCAATACATGTATACGCTAGAAGTAGAAATATAGCACAAATAAATGAAACGTAACTCATATCTGTAATGTTTTTGGTCCTTATTTAGACAGCCGAAAGGACGACACAACAGCCTTCAATTACATGGTTGATAACGTGTGTGTATTCTCCGTTCAACTTCTGTACAGGTCATATTGCAATACACTATACATTGTTCTTCTACGAGTAACCAATGACAACCAGAAAGTATGGAATGCTAATTGTGCAGTTGTTCAAGATACTACAATCCTCCCTACCTGGATTAAAACCTTTCTATAATGAGATAAGTCAATCACAGTGTAGCTGTTGTTATTTCTATGGCTTGTTTGACATCATCAAACTGTAACAATCATTCATCAATGTGTTTTAGACCATGTAAGAACAAACTTTGGAAAAAACATCAAAACAAGTTGTAACTCATTTAGAGTATAAAACCAAACTTGAACATTAACCAAACTCAGCTAATTTGCACAAAGCCATGTATAGAACTCATGTACACATGTAATGGTTAAATAACTAACTTGCATAAAACAAAACTTGCTACAGATAGCCAGTATTACATATATATACTTCAAACAAGAAATAATTCACTTTGTGAGATCATGCAGAGCTTATGCATATAGCAATATACCATCTAATAAAATGTGAACTCTAAAAGTTGTAAATTAGGCTTTTAGGAAGTATTCATGGTTGAAATAAGCTGATTATGTAGTGATATATTTTCATATCAACAGATCAAAATTACCTATGACCTGCAGAGGTCAATAACTGTTTGCTAGCATAAAAATCTTGTTCTTAGCACTCAAGTCTGTTTCAGTATAATAAAGCATAAAAAATGCAATTGACTGTTCTGTCATACATTGTAGGCATGAGGCAATAGCATCGAACAATATGAACTCAAATATCAAATATCATAGATTATAAAACATAGCAATCAGCAAATACACATGTACAAACCTTCAAACTGTGCAAAACTGATATTCATTCATAAACACAATATAATGGCAACAAATAACACCTTTTTACATTTTCCTTTCTTCTTTCCCTTTTGAAAAATAGCCAAGTGTACAAAATATTTTCTTTGTATGAACGTAGAAAATTAAACTGATTCAATTGGAATTCGCTCTTTATAAAACCTTATAAATTACTTCCAACTCCGTAACATTGAAGAGCAATATTTATAAAATTGAACCAGATTTCTGGAGGCTCTAGTTTGTGTTTGTTTGTTTGATTGGTTTTTTTTTTTTTTTTTTTTTTTAACAATTAAGCTATAAGTGTTTACAAAGCATACTGAGTAAATGCAAATCTGTTATACACGGAAAATAATTTCAAACCAATAGTTACGACACTCTGAGCCATTAATCAAGTTACATGCAATAATTAAACTAACAGCAAAGAATAAAAAGATAATATGAAATCCACCCTTGAGATCTAATCTTGATCAGAAATGCAAACTCACATGAACATTATGCAAACGTCCATTGTGACAGGTTAGAACAATAATTTGTTTAAATACACATAAATGCATACAGTAACCTGAATAAAAAGTTTGCCATCAAAAGTTTTTTTTTTTTTTTTTTTGTAAAAAATGCAAGATTAAGAGTCAATGTCTCATCATTTAGTCATATTGTGCATTTCTCCAGTTTTCTTTGTCTTTGACTAGTTTATGAGTAATGAATAGACTGTGAACTAAACATAATCGCGCAACCGTGCTGGTTGTCGTCGATTGCGTCTAGGATTACGTCGCGGTTGCACAACAAGTTGTTGTCCTTGTGCATTATCATCACTAAGGTCAATTTCAATTTGATCATTGTTAGCAGATTGGTCACAGGGAATAGGACCAGTGTAACGCTTGAAACGTGATGCGTTTCGCGTGATGTAGTGATTACCATGACGTACAGTGATTCGTGAACCTTTCTTCCTAACTACTTTGTATGGTGTGGAAAGGTACGGGGACTGATGTTTGCACACTATACCATCACGGCGGACAAGAACTGTGTCTCCTACATCGATATCCTTCTCGCGTGTTGTACCGTGACTATCCGCGTACGCTTTCATTTTCGCTTTCTTGCCACGATCGCGAGAGCGGAGTTGATTATCCGAATTTCGTTCTTGAATGTCGGAGACGGGAACTATAGGCTCAGGGAGGCGAGTACGGACAGGTCTGCCAAACAGGAGTGTGGCAGGGGGGACACCAGTCGTGGTATGCGGCGTGGCGCGGTAATTGCGAAGAAATCTGTAGAGCTCTTGCTTCCACGATTTGTTTTGAGCGATGGCAGAGCGATAGGCTTTCTTCAGTGTTCTCATAAATCTTTCAACTTCACCGTTCGCTTGGGGCCACCTGGGGGTTACCCTTCTGTGCTTGAAACCCAGGTAGTCGGCAAAGTCGGCGAATTCACGACTGTTGAAAGGAGGCCCATTATCCGTACGGACGATATCAGGAACGCCGAAACTTGAGAAAATTCTGTCTAGCTTGGGGATGACTTGCTGAGCTGAAGTAGATGAGACAATTTCAACCTCGGGGAAACGAGAATAGTCATCCATAACAACAAGCAGGTGGTCACCTGAGGGGAGATCAGCGAAATCAATGCTAAGTTCTGACCACGCTTTTTGGGGCAGAGGGGACATGCGCAGAGGCTCTTTGACATGCTCGATTGTGTTAGACTGGCATGTGATACAATCACGAACAATTTTCTCTGTCATCTTGTCAATAGAGGGAAACCACACTTTTTCACGGATAAGACTCTTTGTCTTTGTGATGCCTTGATGTCCCTCATGTGCAATATCAATGATGCGTTTACGAAGAGACTGCGGGACTACTATGCGATGTCCGCGGAGGAGAAGAGAATTGTCATCCACTGTCAATTCCTCGCGAATAATGAACAAGCTCTGGAGTTCTGATTGGTTTTCAGTAGAGGTCGCAAGAAGGTCATGCCAGTTGTTGTTCTTGATGGTGCGAATGACGTGCTGTAGGACTGGGTCCTGTTTTGTGGCTTCAGAGATTTCGGACATTGATACTGACTTCGGAACTGCATGATATGCCACAAAACTAACATGAGCTTCCGCCATGGATTGATCATCAGATACGCTCATCACCGATAGCTGAGGATGTCGCGAGAGGTAGTCAGCGGGGTTATGCTGACCAGGACGATACTGGACGGTGTAGTCATACGCTTGCAGCTTCAGGATCCATCTTTCAAGACGGAGCGGTGGCTTAGCATGACAGTTGTTGAAGAGCGATACTAGCGGCTTATGGTCAGTTGTGACTACAAACGATCCACCATACAAATACACATGAAAATGGACAATAGCCCATGTGATGGCTAGGGCTTCACGCTCTGTTTGCGAATATCGAGATTCAACGTCTGTGAGGGCTCTGCTTGCCAACGCGACAGGAACCGTGTTCTCCTTGTTATGCTGAACAAGAAGTGCTCCCAGACCATGAGGACTGGCATCAACGATAAGTTCAGTGGTGCTGGCCGTATTGAAGTATGCCATGGTGCATTGTTGCGAAACTCTTTGCTTGATCTTAGGCTTGGGCAAGACCCCATTCCCATTCACTATCCGACTTAGTGAGATGGCGAAGAGGTGCTGAAATCGAGGCCAGACCAGGGATGAACCTGGCACAGTAATTAACCATGCCTAAGAAACTGCGGACTTCGGACACGGTGCGAGGTTCAGGTACCGCTCGGATGGCTTCGATCTTTCTCGGATCAGCGCTAATGCCGTTGGATGAGAAAACGTGACCAAAATATGTGACACGGTCAGCAGCAAAGACACATTTGTCCTTGTTCAAGGTCAGGTTCACCTCACGAAGGCGTTCGAGTACAGCTTTGAGGCGAATGTCATGGTCCGCTTTGTTGTTCGCGAACACAAGAATATCATCACTTATATTCAAGACACCCGGTAGGTCTTGAAGAACAGCTTGAATGGTGTGCTGAAAGATCTCAGATGCAGATGCGAGCCCGAAGTTGAGTCGTTTGTACCGAAAAAGTCCGACATGAGTTGAGAACACTGTGTACGGACGAGACTCTTCATCAAGCTCTAGCTGGTGGTAGCCCGAGTTGAGATCCAAAGTGCTAAATGTTGTGGCACCATTCAAAGCAGACACAGGATCATCAACGGTTGGCGTGATGTGACGTTCGCGCTTCACAGCTTTGTTGACGTGACGCATGTCAACACAAATGCGGATGTTATCACTGTTACGCTTCGGGACAACAGTGATCGGAGAAACCCACGGAGTAGGTGTATCATGTACCGGTTCTATGATATCAAGTTCCTGCAATCTGTCAAGTTCCTGCTCCACTCGCTTTCTTATGTGGAAGGGAATCCTTCGGTGGGGAATTGCTACAGGAGGAACGGATCCATCAACATGAATATGGCATTGGTGATCTTTCAGTTTGCCAATACCAAGGAAACGATCCTTATACGACTGCTCTAGCTGAAGATTGTACGTGATATGAAGGAGACCAAGTGCAGTGGCAGTGCTACAACCCAGCAGTGTATCACCACTGTGCGTGACAACAAATATCTTTGTTTCCACTGTTTTCGATTTATACGAGACAGATGCGGTGAATGTTCCAACAACATCAAGCGGGACTGTGCTTCCATACGCATACACAGGAACGGAGGGCGCGTCAAGATGAGGCCTTGGTGTAATCGAACGATACGTGTTCTGACTCACAATCGTTACTGAGGAACCAGAATCGATTAAAGCTGAAATTGAGATCCCGTTGACCTCAATCTGAACAAACGGTCCGTTGGCTGAAGAAGAATTAACATTGAAAACATAGTCCTTTGTTTCAGCTTGCTCTTCCTTACTATGCTGAGCAGGTTGGTGATCACGCTGAGGCTCAGGCTGCGGAGAGCTAGTACAGCTGCATTGACATGCTGCTGTATGTTCAGTATGAATTGCGATAGAATTGGACTTTAATGGTCTAGATAAACAGTACTTCTGGAAATGATTCAATTTTCCACAAGAATGGCACGTAACCCCTTTTGCCGGACAGGGTTTATCTGCGGGATGTGGGAACCGACCACCACAATTCCTGCATGTGACTTTCTGTCTGGTCGCTTGCTGTTTTCCACGAGTGCGAAATTGGCGTTGGACAGAGTTCGGATTTGAGGGCTTGTCATGACGCGTAGCAGCGACAGTTGATTCTCGAGATGTAGCACTCTCCATCTCGGCTGCATACTGATCAGATTGCTCGAGCGTGCGGGCAGTATGAAGAAGTTTTTCGAGTGTAACAGTTTCACGAAGTGCGTACCTCCTCAAATTTTGCGAAGTACACCCAAACACGATTTGGGATTTGATTTCCGCAGTTTTGTCCGAGAATTGACATGATGAAGCTAACTTCTGCAAACGGAGATGATACTGAGCAACAGTTTCATTGTTCAATTGTTTACACTGACGAAACAGATAACGTTCATATTCCACATTAACAGACGGAACAAAATGTTTCTCTAGCGCTTTAATGGCAGCAGAGTAAGATGTGGCTGTGTCTGGAAGTGTTTCAAAGATTTCCTGCACATCAGGACCGGCATAGTGCAGGAGCAACGCTCGCTTCTGGGCATCGTCTGTTACAGCAAATGCAGGGAAAAAGTTCTCTAGCCGTTTCACGTATTTTCCCCATCTCACACCCACGGTCGCGAGATCATCATGGCACTCAAAACGCTCAAACTGGGGTAAATTCATGTTGAAATGTTCTCAAAGTAACTTACGCAGTGACTCGAGGGACTGTGTCCATGAAAGTTCAGGTTCATGACGAAATCACACATCTTCGTCGCCAAATGTAATGTTTTTGGTCCTTATTTAGACAGCCGAAAGGACGACACAACAGCCTTCAATTACATGGTTGATAACGTGTGTGTATTCTCCGTTCAACTTCTGTACAGGTCATATTGCAATACACTATACATTGTTCTTCTACGAGTAACCAATGACAACCAGAAAGTATGGAATGCTAATTGTGCAGTTGTTCAAGATACTACAATATCATCGATCTTTCTTGAGAATTTCCATTTCATTTATCTTAAAGATAAAGTGGTTTTTGCTGAAACTTTGCCACATTCTATTTTTCTCATCTAGATCTTGTACATCTCATCAGCGATTGGTGGTGCTGCTATCTCATCTGTTTCCTCTGGTACATGGGCATCAACTATAGGTGTGCCTCCCCTACACGCACTGCTGGGTGGTGCTGTTATGATATATGGATCTAGACTGGCTGGTGGATGTACAAGGTATGATAATTATAAGTATGAACGACAACCGTTCTCTAAAGGACTTATCAAGTCACTATATGGTTGGGGTTTTTACATTGGGGTATACGATCGTTGACACATCGTTCTTTTGTTGAACTTAAACTATATTCATAGTAAATATATGGTATTTTATTAGGGTATACTAAAAGATATAACTTATTCAAGAACACTGATCATATTGAATGGAATGATGTGAATATCCATCACACAGGCCAGAGATATTCAACAAATTGAATAATATCACCCAGCATTCAAATCATGAACACTTGTGACGTCGAATGGCAGGGTGAAGAAATGTGTTATGTTAGATTTGGTCAATGAAATAAAGTCTCAATGGTATCCATTTCGTCGGCTATATATTGACTAATGAATCATACTTGTTTTATTTCAGTGGACATGGCCTCTCAGGTATCGGTGCTCTCTCCTTACTATCTTTCATCGCCATCCCATCCATGTTTCTTGGAGGTATCGCTACAGCTGTTACCATGACAACACTCGGTATTTACTGAAGCACATCCACGACATATAAGCCATCGAGTTCATCTTTCTTTCAAAACTTGATGTCTGGTATTGTTAAGGATATAGATAGTTTTTTTTTTAAATATCAATGAAGACATAACTTTCCCAGAATGCTGCAGCATAAGATTTACCTCGCGATCCAAATTAATGGATAAAATACCACCTTTTTATCAATGAAGTGGTTTTAGTCTTATGTTCTTGAGAATATATCTTGAAGGAATAGCAATTATCTTGCTGATAGAAATTTTGCTGCATTTTTGTTATTTATTTATCAATAACCGACTCAAACATTGTTGATGCTCTACATCAGAAACTGATTGATTAGTAACATGAATTATTCATGACTATATCAATTGACGTATTCAATATTACTTTTTTACAAAATGAAATTCAAGGTTTAGAAATTCAGGCTGATATCTAAAAAAAACGTTTCAAACATTTATAGGAATTCGTTGCCAAATACTCGAATACCTCTATCATAATAAAAAGGTAAAAACAAAGATGTCTTTAATAACGTACCAAAATTGTTTGGAATTTATCTTACATTCGTAAGATCATGTCACTCACTAGTTTAAGAGCACTGTTAACTTTTACATTAAGGTAGTACCCACCTGAATTCATGATGATTAATAAAGCTATGAGGTATTCCGATCATTTTTGTCTGCCTTAATACGAATGCCGTAATTTGATGTAATTATCCACAAGTGCCTAGAGAAAAAAACAATAATATATTCTTAAACTGTATGATATGTATTGAATTATTTCTATTTGAAACGTGGCTGCATTATTGCATTTCATTCAGAATATATATTTTGTATATATTTATGTATAGAAGCTTATGCCAATAACAAACTCCAGTGGGTGTAAGGAAGATTCGCAATTTTACATGGAGTTGTTATTTTTTTTATTTGATCATGATTTTGGTCAATTGCATCACCCACCGAAAGTGTAACATATTTATAATTATTAATATTAGATTTTTCGAAGAGAGAAACGATGAGGTAACATTTTAAATGTGCTACTGTAAATATGATTAATATACGATAGATTTGCATGAAAGAAAGAAACAGAGCTGTTACTTAATGTATATAGTATGAAGTATATGAATATTGTGAGATTTCAGATCGTTAACAGACAGGGAGCTACCTCTTAACAAGGACTATATGTGGTGATTTTAACAGTACTATTAACCGGGCATAAAGAAACGGAAAACGAAATAAGTGCGGAATTGGTGGTGATAAGTCTTGAGTGTTGATATTGAACACAATGCAAGAGAAGTGAAATATAACGTAAACACATAAACCTTCAAACTTGTACAGTGATAACCAGAGACAAAGATGTTGAAAACGTAAATTAGGCTTCAATTCACACTCAATTCGTAACAGTTTTCCTAGAAGTCGATCATCTTAGTAATATACTAACTAATTTATCCCCAGCATACAGCAGCGCATGTAACTCAGAAAGATATAATTGTTAAGATTATTGATCTACGTCAAATTCAAAAACTTTTTTGAAGAAATGCAGTCTTCTAAATTCAAACAGTTTTAAATAAGCAATTCAAAATAATAAACACAAACAATGAATTGGAATGGCACGGCAATCTCCATATGCTAACAAGTTGTATTCGGTGTTTTTGCGAATTGCCATTTATTATTTAAGACAAAAAAAGACCTCCCTCTGCTTAGTACAATAATGACATGTTGATGCTTTATGCTATGCTGCAAAAGAAGAAGAGACATCGCCGTATATTATTGCCGAAACATATGCTGCAGTTTATTTTGAAGTTGCGAATTTGTTTCTGTATAGTTTTTCTTGTCTTAATTCCTCCTACCATTTTTTAGTTTCAAATCAGGAGCATTAATTGACAGTTTTTGTGTATTTATATTGCTATGTGGCCATCTACGATGTGAGATTGAGGTTGATATATTTATCTGAACTACACAATGCAATATATCACAACCCTTCAATCGATTTAGTTATCAATTATTTGATGCCCAATATATAGCTACCCGAAACGATGTATTCAACTCTTTGTATTATTTAAATGAATTAATCCACCAATGCTTTGCAATGCTATTTTGTAAAATCCTATCGAAATCAAACGCTTTATCAAAGGCCTTTCTTTTGTATATTTAAATATTCTTTTCTTTCTTTCTGCTGAGCAACAGTTCAATTTTTAAACAGATTTAGCTGATATCCATGTCTATGGTAATGAAATAATAAATCTAATCAATAAGCACAATGCTGCCTTTGAATTCAACGATTGACTTTTCAATTGTGATAAATTATGCCATCGAATTCCAGCCTTGAGTAAACGCACATTTTCAAATAGATTTATCTATGTAATTTTTGTTAAACCAGAACAACGATCCACCTAAAAGTTACCTCAAATTGATAAATTATCTTCTACGGTGTATATTCTGATAAACATAATATATGTTAATATATATGGTAATTTATGTTAAAGTTACTTTCTTTTACATAGGTGTTGTTGGTCTACTGTTTTATACTTCTTATTTGCTGTTTACATTATCAAGTTTGTATAATCATATTTGTGATTTTTATCAAAGAGATGTATTCAATAACTATAAAGCTTGTACTTGATAACATGTGACCATCAATTTGTACAAGATCATAATGGGTACATGGAATATTAACCAAATAAAGGAACTTAATAAGCAGTCGATTTTGTTTAACTTGACTTTTGTTTTATATAAATATATCACAGTTATTCAAATTTCATGGTTTTAAGATACACTTCTCCATACTCTCTGAGACCATGATACAACATACAATAATGAAAAGAGCAATAACAATTGTTTGTTAATCATCAAGTTACTTCATTGAATTCACTGATATATTTCACACACATGACTTTAACATTAGTTAAGCATTTACAATGAAATCATTTACAATGAACATGGAGAAGCCTGTTTACAGAGAAGGAAGGACAAGGGAGAGAGAGAGAGAGAGAAAGAGAGAGAAGGGGAAGGGGCGAAAAAAACCCATATCAAATTAGAAAGAGACAGAGTAAACAATAGAATTTCAAAATTGAAGGTACCTGAATATTAACTGTACATGATATACAGTTTTTAACAGATTTGTTTTCTGGGCATCAAAATATATACATTTCCAATATCTAAAAAGAGTAATTAGAGGTTTTTATGGGGCTTGTTTGACTACATTTTATAAAAATTTGATCATACTCTTGATATAATAAACAAGAATGATAAAAAAAAATGATTAATACAGCCCTTTCTAGCTTCTAACACGCTATAATGTAAAGAGTTGTAGCAGTTTGGCCAGAATTTAAGCTATCTGATCACAGGAGAGTGTATAAACAAAGAGGCTCAACATTTGTAAAAATTCACAATATAAAAATATGACATACATGACTAAAAGACCCTTCCTTGGCTGTGATAGATGTAATCTGTATGCCTTGTATATCAATACTTACATGACTAGATTGACATATGAGGTGATACCCTTTACCCATTTCACCAAGTATATATATATATATTGCTTCATGCACTTACCTCTTCCATACATACCAATCTACTAGCTCAAACAAGTCGTATTTGTTACCAATATATCATGCTCAATAAATACCTCTTTACTGTTATTTTGTTGTTGACTTTGTTTCACATGTAGGGTTTACATGGATATAAATATCTTGGAATAATTAATATCGATGGACTTACTGACAAAAAGAAGCTTGGCAAGAAATAAACCGTTAAGTATTTTCAAATAATATTCACTGAAGAAATAAAACCTGAAGTGGTGAATCAATGTGTCATAAATGATTCTCATGTTTCAGCACCATCTAGTGTTTAAAAAGAAAATTCATACATTTCTACAGCTTGGTTGAAGGCAATTAAAAAAATTAATTTCTGAAGGGTCCACTCACAGATAAAAATGTAATAAAATTGATAATTGTCTTCCATTTGCAAGGTTTATCATAAAAAAGAGGAAAAGAAATATATTCTTCAAGTTCATTGTTCTTTAACAATACAATGCAATGTGTTTCATATAAAAGCCATGATTGCACAGGAGAAAGAAATGAAACATTAATATCAATATTCATAATATATTGCACAAATATCTAATATCATTTTCAAAACTTTATATCGAGAGCACCGAATAAAACTAATCTCATCATTTCAACATCCTCATTTCCACATACACTTGAAGTCACAACTACCGGTAATGGAAATTGACAAAAAAGAATATTGACTACTACATAGTGAATTTTAACTGTAAAAAAAAACATAGCATCAGAAGAGGTATTCTAGCTTAGCTACATCATCCTAAATATTTGAACTAAATGTCAACCATGAGTTACATCATCTTTCTTTCTTGATTTGCTTTTGTTTGGCAATCAGTCACAGTTGACTATTGTAGCCACACACTATTTTATGAATTATTTAAGATTAGGATAAGTTCAAGGAACTATCTAACATTCATTTCATGTAATAAGCGCATTCCTACAAAGAGTTTTCTTTTTGTAATGTCAAAACCAAGTAGAAGTTCATTAGAAAAGTTCCTAATTCACTATAAAAGCTTTCAAGAATTTAAAGCATGAAGTTATTTAAGTCCCAGCAATAAAAGTGAACTATTTCCTTTACTCAAATAATGAATAACATTCTCTGTAACATTCTATTAATCACAATTACCTTGATTTGTACCTCATGATCTTGTGTAATACAAATCGCACTGGCAACAGTTATGATGAATACAATGTGGTACTGGGAGATTATTGTGTGTAGCATATAAAGAGTTAATAAAGTCTTACTTAGGCTTACAATAACCCAAGCCCCTATTTTTAGGTCTCATGTAAGCCTGGACTGGTTCTCGTATGCCTGCTCCCTGTGCTCCTAGTCCAGATCCTGGTGACCAGCCCATGCTCTGCAGCATACGACTCCCAACACTGGACGAGGATAAAGGTTCAGCCTCCGCTCCCACAGCAACTACACCAAATACAATATATGAGATTTTCATCTTAAAATGTATAACACAAGTACATGGATGAATCTATAAACATACATCTTATAAATATAACAAGAGAATATGACCAATATGTTTAACCTTACAACCATGAATAAAAAGCTGGCAGAAGTGCGTTAGCGGGCGAGGGACTCAAAAACTACTTTATTCGCATTTAAAGATTTGTGTTATATTCAAACTGATTTCTGTCCCGAAAATGGTTTTAAAACTTAAAAGACTAATAGAAATGTTATAACAGAACACGGCCGCAATTTTTTTGCCGGAAATAAGTCAGTTTAATAAAATTTGAGGTGATTTAGAGCTAACGCCCTTCTGCTTAGCGCTTCATTTTTTACCTGAAATTCAAGCTAATACCCTTCTGCCAGCCAGGAGACGTTGTTTTACCAGTAATCATACAAATACCAATATGAACAAAAATGAGCTTTTCATCTCACTCATGCAAAATACCTACCTGTAGATGTAACTCCAGGCGGGGGTGACCTTCGTCTGCGTTTAGCAATCTGTGGGTAGAAGGACTGGCGAGATTTGATGACGGCATCATTCTCCATGCTGCCTGTCTGATAATTCATGACGGTATGCCTATAATGCAGAAAATCAATGTACATTAACCACCAACCGTAAAGTATGGAAATATGCTCTTTATCTCATGTATGTATATAGATAGGAAAATAGGATACTTTAGGCCTGCTGTCTTAGACAAGGAGAGAAAGTGAGAGTCAAATGTTATCCATATCAATCCATATATATATATATATATTACAGATAAACTGTACACATTAGAATCTAATATTGAATTTATACATCCATCAACTATTATACATACTTGTATCAAATAGTGAATAACATGGCAGTATGTTTTAAATTCTGCTAATTGTCCCAACTGACTATTTGATTTATTTTTATCTTCCCCATCACTCAGAGAAAGGGGCCTACCGAAGCTTCTGTTGATGTTACTCTTAGTTTGGACCTTAATCCATCTATAGGAATGATAGTACTCAGTAGTCAATGGGAGAAGGCATGCCCTTACCTAGTCTTTGTTAAGATTGACTTGCTCTTTTGTCCGCCTCCCTCTGTTCTAACATCCAGTGCATACATGGAAGCCAGCTGGAAGATCTGGTTTCTTTCTCTTGATTTGGTTGAATGAAGACTAAGCCTGTTTATCAATCAAATTAAAGACAAATACATAAATTATTAGTTTACATTTGATAAAAAGCACCTTTATAAGTACACATTTGTCTTGTAACATACATAGTAAAAAAAAAGCATTGTCTATATTAAGGCCAACATGTCAGTTTTAAAGTAAATATCATATATCTAACAATCAAAATTAGATGCTGCAAAATCAGTTGAAAATGTTATAGGCTGCAGAGAAATATAGACAACATACACTGAGAGAAACATGTTCGCAAAAATGATATGTTTATGAAGAGAGAAAATAAAAAGCTAAAGACAAGTTCAAGCCATTTACAGAAATACCGGTATGTGTTTGCTAAACATGCAGCTAAAACATTCCATCCACGAAATACCAATTTCTATAAAATATCAATATTATCATATTCCAAATCCACTTTGAAGATGTAATCCTAACATAAAGAGTAAATGGTAGAGAGTCCAAGATCAATACTTACTCTTGTTCAAATGGATTGTGAAGAAAGCGAACTATCTTCTCATTGAAAGATGCCATGCTGGATTTCTTTAACCTCTGTAGAATGACAAAAGATTTGTATTCGGTGATAAGTTACAATTTCTAGTATATTATGTTTTTAGCAATCCAATTTTATAACAGACAACAAAGAAAGGAGAGATGAAAAAAAACATGATACACATGCAATGGCAAAAAGCAAAGATATTAATTCATAGGACTGAGATATCAGAAAAAAGCATTCATAACTGATCATTTTTATATAATTTTTAAATGAAATAATGAACATAAAAGCACAATACTCCATTTATTTTTCCCTGAAGCATTAGCTTCCCCTGTTTTGATTAATAACTCATCTATACAGTTGAAAATGATTCAAAATATATGTTTAGTGTATGATTAAACAGAAACAGGCTTCGATTTAAATTTGGCATAATAATTATTTCTTGAAGACACATACATGTGACCGATAGTACATATAACCTATAGTACAAACATTGCTTACTCGTCACATTATTTGGCATTTCAAACATTGAAGAATGCATATATCTGTTTCAGGAAAATATGATTTTATCTTAATAAAAGCAGGTGAGACACATGAGGACATCAAAGTTAAATATATTTTCTCAACACAGTAAATGAATGAATAAACAGTACATGCTATTTTTACGTAGTCGTCTACATGTACACACTTCAGGAACACATGACAGGGCTTAGGTAACATGAATCCATATTTAGCCTTTTTTTACCCACATACCTTAGCTTTAAGCCTTTGTCTGCAACCTCTCATGATGGAAGGCTCCTCTAAGCCATGACAACCTCGTAGTTTAGCATGAAAAGCTGGAGAAAAATAGAAAAAAACAGAAGCCATTATAACCTGAAAATTGTATTTCATCAGAAATTCTAAAGTATGACATATTAGGTAAAATTGTGAATACCGTAACCTGTAATTTCATATTTCAATAGATTGATGTCAATATGCTTGACAGGAAAACAAAATCACAATGCCAGAGCTGCTATCTTTCACCAGGTAATGACAATGTTACAGGTGAAAATCAGTTCAAATTTAAGGAGTCAGACTTCTCACATCTCACTTCTCAATCTTTACTTTGTATGAACCTTTCATACGCTGCTCAATTTCTGTATGAAATACTGATAATTCCTAGTCCTATAAACATGATGGCTGCACTGATTATATCTTTACCAAAGTAGATGACTGAAGATTTAAGATACTTACATCTCTGTGTTGGCTTTGATAGATGCTGAAGGCTACCACTGAGGATGCTGTTAAAGGTTTGATCCTGCTCGTATTCCTCTATCGTCTTACTATCCCACCAAGGTACCACGGTAGGTATACCCGATACATTCCCTGGCTCATGAAAGAAATCACTCTGCTCATCATCACCTGTAAGACAATGGCAAATAGTTCATTCATTGCCTCCCTACAAAACATTTCATACAATCAAGCTACAGGTCTATCTGAGTATCTCTATCTAATCACACAAAGATTTATACAACCTTGCCTCCTTACTGAAATGTAGGCATGGGTTACCATTGTAAGAGTATTCAACAAGACTTTGTGACCCAAATTCTCTCCATGATACTATAATACTTGATTGAAAACAATTGGGCAAACTTGTTGTTATACGCACTGCATAATACATGTATATGTACACGTAAATATGTACAGGTACATGAACATGTGCTATTAAATGTTGTCTGCACATCTTTTAAGCTGGATTTTCTTTCAAACAATCTAATTCATCAAAGAAATGACTGAACTGCCAATCAAGGATGAACCTTTATAATTGTAGAGAACACAATGGCAAAATAGTACAAAATGACACAATAATGCATCACAGTAACATGAACAGAGAGAGAGAGAGAGAGAGAGAGAGAGAATGGAGCATGGGGTAAACTATTTAGTCTGTAGGATATCTGTTGTATATTGTATAAACTTTACCTTCTCTTCCTTCATCATTTGTATAACCATCATCATCTTCTTCATCTTCATCTTCATCACTAGATGACATATAACTGCTACTTAATTCCCTGTGATGGAGACAAAAGGAAAAAAAGAGTTCTCAGTTTGATGCTTTTTATTCACTAACTTGACTAGACGAAGTATTAGTTCCAACAGTATACAAATTATTATACATTTGTTTAGATGCTGACCAGATTTCAAGGCAGATTTCTGAAACATTACAATAAAATATTAAAGGACATGTCAAGTCACAAACTAAATCATCTTTATCTCTTTTCAATTATGGTTCCTCACACAATAGTTAGACACATCATAATACAATTTGTTTCAATTTTTTAATTTGTACAATTGCTACCCCCCCCCCCCTCCCCCATTGTAGTTCTTACCACTAAAAGAACCAATTTGCAACTACCAGCAATTAATTCCTCAACTTCTTGTCTCTAATGATTTTAATAATGCAATGTCAGAATTATATATATTTATTTATTTATATATATATGTTCAAAAATGCACAAGAAAGAGTACCCCTAAAATAGAGAGAGAACCGACATTCATAAACAAATGTTGCAATTACGTAGACACATACATGTAGCATGCAAGTTGCATTTACTCACTCATTCTTTGGCGTTAATGGTTGTCTCATGGTAACATCGCTATCATTACTAGAGCAGTCCATATTTTTACCCTCTGCAACTTCTGTAGATGTTGCCCCATCAGAGCTAGATGATCTAGTTCTTTCCTTTGATACAGGACTACCAACCACAGCACTGGCTTCAGTTCCTTCTTTATCCTGCTTCCTGGGGCACACTTCTTTGCCTTCAGTAATTGCTTTACATTCTTCCCTTGGCTGAGATAGGTCCATTGGGTTTAACTTAGATTTCAGTTTGTTACCAGTTTTTGTGGATTTAGCAAGAAGAATATCAAATTCAAACTCCCCTTTCATCTGCGATGCATCATCAGTCTTATCAAGTTTCCTTGGACGCACTTTCTTGACACGAGGGCGCTTGTGGAAAATTTCTGGCACAAAATCTGGCATAGATGAGCTACGGACCATACAACCTGAACTTGATGGTATTGAATCCACATCCATACGTTTGAAACGTTTCTTCCGTTTATTGACAGTTTTCTTGAGCATTGTGTGATTTTCTGTGACAGAGTCTGATTCACCATAAAGGTTACTTGATGATGTCATATTGAGAGATGATAAACGTTTCATCATGGTTGTATCATCTGATCCAGAGTCACTTTGATGTTGTTGCTGTGATGAAACATTTTCCATGTAATCTTTCAAAGCTTCGTCCAGACTTGAATCTGATCCTTCACTGTACTTAATGGAATTCTCCCATATAGGATTTGGATCAAGACGTCTTTTTCGTCCTCTCCTCTTCCGTGACTGACGTCTTACTGATTTTGGGCTATTGAAATCAGATGTTAGGCACTCCTTACCTGAACTAGCCTTTGAAGCCATTCCAAATTTTGTTAGTCTTTTATGAATAAGGTAATAACACACTGCACTTTGCTGAGCTCATTCACACACACCCTTTGGGTAATGACATCTTGTATTCCCTAGTGATATAAAGAAAGATGAAAAAATAATATTAATATAATGAATATGCCACACTATCATTCAAATATAACTTTGAACACTGTGAATTCAAAACATGATAGTACTATACAGAGACTGAAGTACGTTGTAAGGGTTAGTGAGGGGAGTTTTACAAAACAGTTTGTGTGCGAATGCCCATCTCATCGTGCACAGTTTTTTTCTCAAGAAAGTGGACATAGATCTAGTCTATTAGTCGAGAGTAAGTAGCTATATTTTGATGTTTTACAATGATTTCCTATCATATTTTAAAAATATCAAACTGTTAAGTCTAGATAAAGAAAAAACTGAGGCAAGAGAAATTTTGTCACCGGATTCCTGCAAAGTTCTACAGTAGTATTCTGCCCCCTCCCCTCCCTGTGCGAGCTGTAAGGGGTATCGCTGGTGTAGGGGGAAGGTTGAAAAATGTCAGTTTGATTAAAGAATTCCCTATACCTGTCGTATATTTGTCTACACCAGCACCAGCTTTCGCACTGAACTTGAGATCACTCAGTGCCTTATCAATTTGAAAGATTTGTACAATTTTTATCGACCCCCTCTTGCCAGTCTTGGGGTATGAGTAGATCTACAAATATATTTACAACCAACTAGCGACCGTAAACTAACTGAACACCACGCGCGCCCGCACCCTGGCACTGTCGGTACAGTATGCAATTGTATTGTGCTGCAGTTTGCTGTGAATCGGGCGAGAAAGTGCATATTGTAAGTCTTTGTTTTTAAAAAGAATACTCCGAAAAAGATAAGAAAATTGACAAGAAACAGGTATAACAAACATAGACCGAAAGCTTCAGTCTCTATACCGTCGGTTGTTCCACTGAGACTACGTCTGGCTCCACTAGACCTCCGGTTATAGAGACAGAACGATCGCCTGTGCCAGCCTATGTTGAAGATATCACGGCTAGATTTTAGCCGTTAGGCCCCTCCCACAAACATGAACAAACTTGCCACGGCCGTATTGTTATGCCCCCAAAATCCCCCAAAATGTCATTTTACCTCGTTCATATCCAATTTTACATTAGGCCTAGGCTATAATACATCGGTTCCACTTACTAACTTGATTGAAATAATCCGTTTAATGGTCCCTCTTAAGGAAATTATGGGTCAAAATCGACATCCATGTTGAAAATCTTGCAAGCCGTGTTAAACTCTCGCTGCCGTCAATCTCATCCCTTCTAGTCTACGCCGAAGGCAAAATGATTATGAAGGAAAAACTGTGCGCCATCTACACGTTCGTAATGGCGTTATCACATTTTGGGGGATTTTGGGGGCATAACAATACGGCCGTGGCAAGTTTGTTCATGTTTGTGGGAGGGGCCTAACGGCTAAAATCTAGCCGTGATATCTTCAACATAGGCTGGCATAGGCGATCGTTCAGTCTCTATAACCGAAGGTCTAGTGGAGCCAGACGTAGTCTCAGTGGAACAACCGACGGTATAGAGACTGAAGTTTTCGGTCTATAACAAACAAATCAACTTTTAAGTCATGACCTTTAATTATTTTGACATTTGATGAATAGACCCTAGAGTAAAGGAGCCCGTTTTCGGCCACTTAAGACAAAATCCTTTTTTTAGGACCCTTTACTTCCTATTTATTATCATTTTTTGTTCAAATCATGAAGCAAATATTATTATTATTTAAACAAAAAAAGAATCCCAGAAAAAAATCACGAATTGCCATGACAATATTCATTTCAATTTTCACTGTTTTGGAGCCGGTTATCGGCCGAGCGTTTCAGTTTACGGCCGCATGTACAAAGTCAATAGGAAGCGCTCGCGCGCGCCGTGCGTTTCCGCGCTGATGTACAGCACAAGCGGGCGGAGCAGATATCCCACGCCGGAGCTCCCTGGTGCTCGCTTGGCCGAAGACAGGCACAGCGGTGATCGGAAGTTTGAATCTGAATTAGACAAACATATCGTGTGTGCGTGGCAGGGTCCGGCTGCATTGATTTAATACATGCGATGAGATACTTTTGAGCTTGCGACTAACACAAAATCGGGCTCTAAATCTGAAAAATACTTGAAATAAAGCGGATTTTATGGTACCCATATTTCTTACATACACGCGTAAGATACTCGATTTTTCAGATTTGGGTAGCGAGACCGCCGATTACATCGCTAAAATGTGATATTTTAGGATATATTTTTCATTGCAAATGTGGTTCTTCAGTGACACTGGCATGGTATGGTATGAGTGGGATATGTGTTATGCTATTATGCGATGTATTTTAGAGTGATTTTACCTTGCATCCAACCAATCGGCCGAAAACGGGAGCTGGCCGATTACTAGACCGAAAACTTCAGTCTCTCTAATCGTCGGTTGTTCCACTGAGACTACGTCTGGCTCCACTAGACCTCCGATTACAGAGACTGAAGTCTGGGGACCTCTTTCTGTGAGGCACTGTACGGAACAAATGGTTCGGTTCGACCGGACCGCGATGAATGAGATATGCAATGAGATTTTCACTCTTTACATCCTCATAACTGCTGGAATTACAACACAAATTAAAAATAACATATATATAGCTTATTTGACTTACGATAGCTTGCTCATTTAGATCCTAAATTAATGATTAATCCGAGAAAGTCTCGTCGACAACATTATCCGTCTTGGTTTTAGTTGATGAATATTCATTTTTTCTTTTCGAACGTCCAATAGCTACCGTAGCTACGTACGAGTCGGCCCAGCTTGACCAACGAACTCCCACGAAACGAGTGCTCTGATTGGCCATTTGGCTATGTTTTGGTAGGTGGACCCGGAAATATATCGGCCGCCGGGTAATATTTCGAATGCATGAACGTACCGTTTCACAGTTCGGAAATACAAATTGGATAATTCATATAAGTAAGTCCGTAAATTATACATTTAATATTAAGTTATCAAATTTTGATAACTGTAATTAGGACAAATGACATACCGACCTAGAGTAAAGTACCCAGTTTTCGGCCACTTAAGACAAAATCCTATTTATTGGACTCTTTACTTCCTATTTATTATCATTTCTTGTTCAAATCATGAAGCAAATATTATTATTATTTAAACAAAAAAAGAATCCCAAAAAAAAATCACGAATTGCCATGACAATATTCATTTCAATTTTCACTGTTTTGGAGCCGGTTATCGGCCGAGCGTTTCAGTTTACGGCCGCATGTACAAAGTCAATAGGAAGCGCTCGCACGCGCCGTGCGTTTCTGCGCTGATGTATAGCACAAGCGGGCGGAGCAGGTATCCCACGCCGGAGCTCCCGGGTGCTCGCCTGGCCGAATACAGGCACAGCGGTGATCGAAAGTTGGAATCTGAATTAGACAGACATATCGTGTGTGCGTCGCGGTGTGCGGCTGCATTGATTTAATACATGCGATGAGATACTTTTGAGCTTGCGACCAGTACAAAATCGGGCTCTATATCTGAAAAATACTTGAAATAAAGCTCATTTTATGGTACCCATATTTCTTACATACACGCGTAAGAAACTCGATTTTCCAGATTTGGGTAGCGGGACCGCCGATTACATCGCTAAAATGTGATATTTTAGGATATATTTTTCATTGCAAATGTGGTTCTTCAGTGACACTGGCATGGTATGGTATGTGTGGGATATGTGTTATGCTATTATGCGATGTATTTTAAAGTGATTTTACCATGTATCCAACCAATTGGCCGAAAACCGGAGCTGACCGATTACCGGGTACTTTACTCTAATTTACATCTGATTTAGAAATCAGAAAATTAGATCTAAATAAAGAAAATCGGGGAGAAAATGTTTTGACACAAAAAGCTGCCATTGTTGGCTATAGCTACCCCCACGGTACGAGATCTCTGGGTTGCCATCTGTATTGGGGAATGACAACAAATGTCAGTTTTATTAAAGAAATGACCCAAATCAGATGGTTATTGCTGTCTAGCCGATTACGGGCTCCTTTAGTTTACTCTAGACCTAGTCTATGTTTTAGTTACGGGTCAAATTTTGGCTAGACTTCTGAAGTACCGACGTCTATTCTATTGTCTTATTGACATATTGTATTGTACGGCGTCAATGCAATGCATGACGCCAATCATCATCATCATCATCATCTTATTCTCCCTCCGCATTGCATTGCCAATGAATGGCAATGCAATCGCAATGCCAATGCAACGCAATGCAATCGCAATGCCAATGCAACGCAATGGCCAATGGCACATTTCTAGACAGATTTGAATAAAGTTATTTCTTACGTTATGGTTACGTACCAAGTTACAGATTTGGCATATTTCATACTGCCTATGAACACGTTTCGAGAAGTGGATAATTTCGCATTAGGACAAAATACTCAGGTAATTATTTAGGAACTTACTGCATTTTGTAGTGAAGTCAATGGCATAAAATCCAAAGTATTAGATAACGGTACGGTGTATGAAATAAGACAAATCACAACGGAAAAAAGGATCGCAGTTAAAATGGAGTAAGAATAGTAATAATCACTTTTAAAGGAAAAGACCAGTATTGGAAACGCCCCAATTTCAAAAAATGAAATGGAAGCTCTCATTACCAATCATGTGAAAGAATATGTTTTTGACTAATACATGATGATAAAAAATTTGCCGGGAAACTGCCTACTAATTCATATATTTGGTAAATTTGTTTCTCTCATGGTCTGTGAGAGATATGGTAGTCCCATATACATCTTTCTTTGTATAGTGCTTGTAACTTTACGAAGAATGGGCCAAATTTCTTATCATTTTGATGATTCCAGAACCTTGCAGATGCTAGATGCTAGATGATCAATCTTTTCTGATCGATTCCACAACGTTTCTTTCACAATGCAATCGCATGACCATAACTGGTCTTTACCTTTAATAATAATGTTTAATGTTTATTCTTTGTACAACGAATTGATGTTGAACATAATTATTTGCCATCTATTCAAATTTATAGATGTGCATTCAGAAGTGAAATCACTCTAGGAATTTTGTTATTAAAATTGTTCAAAATTTTCATTTGCCATTGGCTCGTACAGAACTAAACCAAAAAATAATTATTTTCCAAGGACAGTTTCTGTGGAACTCTTCCTAATTCTGCTAACGTAGGTATAAGGAATTTCTTTTGGGTAAATTGCAATGATTATTTGAATCAAAGACATATTTAATTTGTTTGTTTGTATATATATATATATATGTATGTTTGTTGTCTTGATTTGTGTATATTGTTAAATGTTTAGTGACGAACATATTTCATATTTTTTATTACTGAAAAAGGGTCAACCTTTATATAAAGATTATGTTTCCTTTTAGGTTGCAACCTATTCAGTTTATTTTATGTCCTTGTCCAATGTGTTTTTAATTTGTACTTTATGTTATATATCTGATTGTTATATGTAATGTTGTCTTTTAACTGAATGAAATAAAATTGAGTTGAATTGAGTTGAATTCGTGTATATTTCCCCCGGAAGCCTCCAGATACTAAACTATCTAGATAAAATTGAAAATGATCTTTTTTCGTTACACAAGGCAAATGCAAGTGTCTGTATTAGTGGCGTACGCAGGATTTTTCAAGGGGGGTGTTTGAAAATATGAAAATCGCGCCGACAGATAGTTCGCTCAGTAGGGGCGGGGGGGGGGGGGGCTGGTGGTGAGCTCAATTTTTTTGTGAGGAGGGGGGGGGGGGGTAACCCCCAAAACACCCCCCCCCCCCTGCGTACGTGCCTGGTCTGTATTATGGGTGATTTCAACGCAAGAACAGGTACTAAAAATGATGTGATATCCTTTGATAAAGACATTATTGCACCGCTGCTTTTTAACGTGTACACGAACGACCAACCGATCCACCCAAACACCAGGAGCTTCCTCTACGCCGATGATCTCTGCATCGCCACCCAGAACCAGTCTTTTGTGAGGCTGGAGGAGTCCCTCAGTGATGCCCTGGCCGGTCTCATCCCATACTATGCGACCAACCACCTGAGAGCTAACCCTGATAAAACTCAGACAAGCGCATTCCACCTCAAGAACAGGGATGCCAACCATCAACTAAGGATCAGCTGGAATGGGAAAAGGCTGAAGCACACTCCCAACCCATTCTACCTAGGCGTCACACTGGATCGCTCCCTTACCTACAAGAACCACATTGCCAACACATAGGCAAAAGTTGGAGCCCGCAACAGCATATTGAAGAAGCTGGCCAACACCAACTGGGGGACTGATGCCAGAACAATCTGGACGACAGCCCTCGCGCTTTGCTTCTCTGCTGCGGAGTATGCATCATCAGAATGGAGTAGGTCAGCCCATGTACCCAAGATCGACCCAGCTCTTAATTCATCTTGCAGAGCGATCACTGGTTGCCTTAGGTCAATTAAAGTAGAAGACATCTACCTGCTCTGCGGTATTGCCCCTCCACACGTCAGAAGGTTAGTCTTGCCCCAGAAAGAAAAGGACAAACAAGAAAACAATCCACTCCACCCACTCTACGAACAACAGCCAGTGGGCAAGCGGCTCAAATCCAGACACAGCTTTCTGCACTCTGTAGAGCCCCTTAATAATAGCCCTCATAACCAAAGGATGACTTTATGGTCTAACCACCTCCAGACTACTCCACATAAACTCTCCCTCAGCCCGAAGGAATCCCTCGCAACCGGCTCCAATGAGACTTGGCCTACCTGGCTTAGCCTCAACCGCCTAAGAAGTGGCTACGGACGATGTAGAGTCCTAATGCAGAGGTGGGATCTAGGAGACAAACAAACAGCATGTGAATGCGGCCAGTTACAGACGATGGAACACCTGCTAGTCTGCCCACTCCTGCCAGAGCCATGCACCCAAGATGACCTGGAAGCATAGGCGTCAATCCTGGGGGGGGGGGGGGGACGTCGCCCCACGAATTTCAGATGGTGAAATGTCCCCCCCCCCCCCCACGATTTGGGGTTAAAAAATCTTCTTTTTTCTTCGCGCGAGAGGGGGGGGGGGCTGAATACAGACAATGATTAAGAGTCAAGAACGGTACAACGAATCGTCTTCGTTCTTTAATAATTTAATGAAAGTCAAAGGTTCCGCGGTACAACGAAACGTCTTCTTTCTCCAATAAGGTAATGAAATGTCAAAGTTTCCGCGCTTTTCGAGGAAGGAAGAAAACTGAATTCATACAAAGATTTAGAGTCGAGAACTTGTAAAACGAATCGTCTTCGCTCTTTAATAATTTAATGAAACGTCAAAGCTTCCGCGCTACGTCAGACAAGGGGAGTCAATAACGGTACAACGAAACGTCTTCTTTCTCCAATAATGTAATGAAATGTCAAAGTTTACGCGCTTCGCGCGGAAGGAAGAAAACTGAATTCAGACAAAGATTTAGAGTCGAGAACGGCACAACGAATCGTCTTCGTTCTTTAATAATTTAATGAAACGTCAAAGCTTCCGCGCTACGTCAGACAAGGGGAGTCAATAACGGTACAACGAAACGTCTTCTTTCTCCAATAATGTAATGAAATGACAAAGTTTACGCGCTTCGCGCGGAAGGAAAAAAACTGAATTCAGACAAAGATTTAGAGTCGAGAACGGCACAACGAATCGTCTTCGTTCTTTAGTAATTTAATGAAACGTCAAAGCTTCCGCGCTTCACGAGGGAGGGGGGGGGAACTGAATTTGGACAAAGATTAAGAGTCGAGAACGTTAGAACGAATCGTCTTCGTTCTTTGATATTTTAATGAAACGTCAAAGCTTCCGCGCTACGTCAGACAAGGGGAGTCAATAACGGTACAACGAAACGTCTTCTTTCTCCAATAATGTAATGAAATGTCAAAGTTTCCGTCAAAGCTTCCGCGCTTCGCGAGGGAGGGGGGAACTGAATTTAGACAAAGATTAAGAGTCTAGAACGGTACAACGAATCGTCTTCGTTCTTTAATAATTTAATGAAACGTCAAAGCTTCCGCGCTACGTCAGACAAGGGGAGTCAATAACGGTACAACGAAACGTCTTCTTTCTCCAATAATGTAATGAAATGACAAAGTTTACGCGCTTTGCGCGGAAGGAAAAAAACTGAATTCAGACAAAGATTTAGAGTCGAGAACGGCACAACGGAATCGTCTTCGTTCTTTAGTAATTTAATGAAACGTCAAAGCTTCCGCGCTTCGCGAGGGAGGGGGGGGAACTGAATTTAGACAAAGATTAAGAGTCGAGAACGTTACAACGAATCGTCTTTGTTCTTTGATATTTTAATGAAACGTCAAAGCTTCCGCGCTACGTCAGACAAGGGGAGTCAATAACGGTACAACGAAACGTCTTCTTTCTCCAATAATGTAATGAAATGTCAAAATTTCCGTCAAAGCTTCCGCGCTTCGCGAGGGAGGGGGGAACTGAATTTAGACAAAGATTAAGAGTCTAGAACGGTACAACGGATCGTCTTCGTTCTCTAATAATTGAATGAATCGTCAAAGCTTACGCGCTACGCGCGAGAGGGGGAAACTGAATTCAGACAAGGAGAGTCGAGAACGGTACAACGAAACGTCTTCTTTCTCCAATAACGTAATGAAATGCCAAAGTATCCGCGCTTCGCGCGGAAGGAAGGAAACTGAATTTAGACAAAGATTAAGAGTCGAGAACGGTAAAACGAATCGTCTTCTTTCTCTAATAATTAAATGCAACATCAAAGCTTCCGCGAAGAGCGGGAGGGGGGGGGGAACTGAATTCAGACACGAATTAAGAGTGGAGAATGGTACAACGAATCGTCTTATTTCTCTATAAATGTAGTGAAACGTCAAAGATAAACATTAAAAAAAGACAATAAATGATCCGGTCACCAATGAGAGTGGATTTGGCGCGATATAAGTTACATTATTATTATTATTATTATTATATACACGCCTTGAAACAAAATAACTAGAGAGAGAGAGAGTGTGTGTGTGTGTGTGGCATCATAACCCGCCCCCCTGAATCCGCAATTGATAACGTGGTATAACTTTGAAAGTAAATGTAAAGGTGATATCACTGACATGACTGTGTCCCCCCCCCCCCCCCCATGCTCAAGCTCAGATTGACGCCCTTGCCTGGAAGCCTTGAATTGCCGTGCCAAAGCCTGTGTGGACCACTGAACGGGACTTGTGTAGTGACTCGATAAGAAGAAGAATTACGATTTTATTCAGAAGCATTTTGAGCATGAAATGTAGCCTCAAGCATGTTTCGAATGTGTTAACAACCCTTGTATATTGTACATGTAATCGTAAACTGATCCATACACCCTGTGCTACTAGTCAGTTCTTATAGACCAATAAATGAACAAAAATAAATAGATTTAATAAAAATGGAAGATATGTGAATAATTACACACTCTAAAAAAAAACTGCTCAATTTGAGTCAAAATTTTACTCTTTTGGGTGGTCAAAAGGAAACCACCCGACTTTTGAGTAAACTTTACTCAGCATGTGTTGAGTAACAAATCTACCCATCTGTTGAGTAAAAATATTACTCAATAAAAGACTAAATCTCTACTCAGTTTGAATGAGTCAACCTTTACTCAATATTTACTCTTTGTTTAGCGGTTTCCTTTTTTACTCAGTACTGGGTAGAAACGTAATCAACTCATGTCGAGTAAGAAACTGCTCATGAGTTGAGCCAAATTTTACTCAATTAACGAGTACATGTTTTGACTCAAATTGTTTGAGCGATTTTTTTGCTCAATTATTGAGTATGTTTTCTGGGTAACGCTTAGTTGCTCAATCAATATTGAGTAAAAACATGTACTAAGTTAAGTACATGTTTTTACTCCATTAGGGGTGCAAACCGATGCAATAGCAGCACCTTTAGGGGTTCAATCCTGCACCCTTTAAAAGGTGCAATCCTGCACCCATCATCGAGGAATACTGGTAAAATTTGTTCGTACACAAATACATATTAAACATGCATGATGTTTCTTGGTTAGTAATCATATAATCAATATATCTATTGCTAAAACGTGAATGTAATTGTAACATGATCAGACAAAATAATATATTGGTTAATGATTGCCAAAGGAAAATACAAAATCAAAAAATTGATGTGCATTGTCATAATTTGCTTAACAAATCATGATAAATGTATTTTTATGTGAACACGTGGAAAGTAATCATGAATATGCATGCAATATGCAAACTTTTATTTTGCACCCTCTTTTGGTCGATAGGGTTCATTTTTGTGGGAAGGGTGCAAAATCTTATATTGCACCCTTTTTTTAACCCCTTTTCCTTCAATAGGGTTCATTTTTATGTAAAGGGTGCAAACTCTTATTTTGCACCCTTTTTTGTATGAGGCGCCGTTTGTAAAACAATTATATAGACAAATTATATGTTATATAATCATTATTTAACAAATAATAACCATTATTTACATATAATGCAAGAAAATTTACATTTTTATTTGTATATAATTCTTAACACATTTTTATTATTTATAAATAATGACAAAGAACGTTTCATTATTTATATATAATTGCCATTATTTATAAATAATTACAATTCACACTTTCATTATTTATATATAATAAAAAGCGAATTTCAATTATATAATATATAATGAAAAGCACATTTCCATTATATAATATATAATGAAAAGCCATTTCCATTATATAATATATAATGAAAAGCGTATTTCCATTATATAATATATAATGAAACGCACATTTCCATTATATAATATATAATGAAAAGCGTATTTCCATTATATAATATATAAAGAAAAGCACATTTCCATTATATAATATATAATGAAAAGCGTATTTCCATTATATAATATATAATGAAAAGCACATTCCATTATATAATATATAATGTAAAGCACATTTCAATTATATAATATATAATGAGAGGCGTATTTTCATTATATAATATATAATGAAAAGCACATTTCCATTATATAATATATAATGAACAGCGCATTTCCATTATATAATATATAATGAAAAGCGCATTTCCATTATATATTAAATAACGATTGTGTATGCAAATGTCAATGGTTGGTAACGCCCATAATATGAATATTCATGAGCTTGACTGATATTATTATCCTCTATTCCAGGCACCTTTCCATTTTGTGTTCTTTGTGCATTCTTATCAGAAATCCTACGTTCGGTAAATAAGTCTCTGTATCACCATTCTCCTTCTTATTTGTATGCAGATCTGGTTATAATGATTGATAACTGTAATCATCCTCATTATTTTAATAAGAAATTTTTCTATCTGTGATGGAAGTTTTTATGTACGATTGCCTGATCTGAAGACAAGACTTTCGCTGCATGCATGACGTCACCCACACAGAGTGAGAGCTCGAAGTTTTCTTTGAAAGTTTGATGGTGAGTACGGCTGTAATTACGTTCAAATCTCGTAAATTGAATCATATTTATAAACATATCTGCTGTAGGTATGAATCTGCTGATATGTCTGTACATTATGAAGTGGTTTAAAATGGTTATATCTGATGAATTTAGGAGTAATCTACACTCGAACTTTTGATTCGTTATTTATCGTCGTGAGAAATATTACAGCTCGATTGCCATCGTCACTCCTTGATCCTTGGCCCAAACTTTCGGGCGAGACCCTCTCTGAAAATTAGATACGAGTATAGGGTCTATAGGCAGATCACTTCACTAGCGCTAGCTGCATCAATGATACAAGCTTTTTGTTAGTTTTAGGTCCAACTGTTGAAAAACTACTTTCATAGTTGGGTCAGAAGAAAGTTAATAGCTAACACTAAAAAGCATGGTCATAGTTGACATGAACAAGCGCCAAAATTAAGACCAGATACCGAGATAGTTAGACGAGTACGAGAGTAGAAAATTTGAGGCCTAACAAAGTTCGGCCTACAGACCAGTAGATAATTGGACTACCTGTGAACAGGCGTGGATCCAGGATTTCTTAGGGGGGGCCCAAATTTGAAAAGAATCTGCACCACCCCACTCTTACATGCAGGTTCCGCTAAACGTTTCTCTAAGTAGGTGAGGGTGGGGGGGGGGGGGGGGGGAGGTATTTACGATCAAGTAGAGCGTTGTGAAATTGGCGTGGTGTCTAAGGGCAAAGAACGTGCGGGGGTCAAGGGGTGGAACCCCCAGAAGCTCAGGGGTATAGGCATTTAATTGCGGTCAGATGAGCATATTACTATTAGCATACCTTATTTGTGACACTGGCAGGACACTAATTGGCGTCACTATTCTTTCTTTCTTTATGAATTTGCCATTGTCCCACAAACGCATTAAAAAGTATTTATTAAACTTTGAGGAAAAATCTCAGAAAATTATGTCATTTCAGCAACATCTGTAAATCACCGGTACTCACCGGTATCGAATTAGAAATAAACCACGTTTGAATTATATTTGGGGGGCATCTGTCAACCCCCCCCCCCCCTAAGTCCCCTTCCCCATCAGTACGCCAGTGCCCCTCCCCCCCGATCTACACGTAACTGATCTCCCCTACCTTTCTTCTTTCTCTTTTTTTCTTTCCCTTTCTCTCCTATTTCCCTTTCCTTTCCCTTCCTCTCTGTTTTAGGTTTGCTAGGGGGAAGCAAGGGTCTTTTGGCCCCCCCTCCCCGATCCACACATTGTTGGCGGGATTAATCGCAACTGTTCTCCCCTTCTTATCACCCTTTTCTTTTCTTCTTCCTCTTTTTTGTTCCCTTTTAGCTCTCCTCTATCCCTTTCCCTTCCTTCTCCCTTTTTTTTTTTTTGGGGGGGGGGAGGGAGGAGGAGGCAAGGGCCTTTGGCCCCCCCCCTCAAACTACAACTTGTTGGCGGGAAAATTGCAACTGATTTCCCCCTTCTTTTCTTCTTCCTCTTTTTCCTTCTCTTTATCCCCTCTTTACTTTTTTTCTTTCCCTTTCCTTCCTTCTCTTTTATTTTTTGATGGGGGGAGGGGGAGAGGTTACAGCTGGGAGGCAAGGCCCTTTCGGCCCCCCGATCTCCTTTTCCCCATTTTCTTTTCTTCTTCCTCTTTCTTTCTTTCCCTTTCTCTCCTTTTTCCCTTCTTTTCCTTCTCTCTCTCTCTCTCTCTCTTTTTTTTTTTTTTTTTGCGGATGGGGTGGGGGGAGGGGGCCAAGGCCCGCTCGGCCGCGCCTGTCTGTGAATGTGATACTCGTAGTCGTACAGAGTCTTGTAGCTATCTAACAAACTAAAACACGATCCCCCCCAAAACAAAATATTCAGTCTAGACTACATTGTATACAGGGATACGTATAGTGGTGCCTGTGTGTTTCTTAAACTCTTTGTTGGCTTAGCCTAATTTGCCTCTGCTCTAGGCTCTATCTTTGAATTTTTGTTTGCTGTAAACACGATTAAGTTTTCTCTGTCATATATAGATCTAGGTCCATACCTTTTTTGCGTTTTTTCAATTTGATAAAATGAACAGTTACGAGACATGCATCTAGATCATCTAGAGACTGTAGATCAACTAGATCTGGATGAAGGATGAAGGAGGGCTTTTTTGGTAAAGAGAAAATCCAAATTAAAATAGAACAGTTAATTCTGCAAATGCTCATCAATGTTTAAATGATCATGCTCATTTCCTTTTATTCTAAGAATTGAATTCCCCCCCCCCCCCTCTCTTTTACAGGAAAATGTACAGAGACACTTGTCGCAGTTAATGCATGCAGTACCAAATGCTTGCTTTCTTGGAGTATGTGCTTGAAACAAGAATGTCCTGGAGAAAACAGACCACCACAAGAGAAGGTAAACATATTTACTTTTGATCTAACTTGATCTGTTTATTTTTTTTCAAGTAAAACAACATTTTGAAATGAGTGAGGTCAAGGCCAAGCTGGAGGGGATGCGAAGGGCTGGTTTGAGAAGTATGTATTAATGGGATGGCTATGTATGATTCCACATGAAAAAATTTGAGGCCTAGGCCTACAATGTACATGCAAGACATTTTAATGTTACAACAGAGATACATGTATGAAGTAGGTATCAATGTTTTACTTTCATTCTCTTCTCTTTTCATTCAACAGACATACATGTACAGTATGGACTATGAAGTTCTACTTAGCCTCTTCAATGAACTGCTGGAGCTGCGACTGGGTATCAAAACCTTGGTATTATAAACTTCATAACCAGTGGCGGAGATATGTTGTTAGCCAGGGGGGAGGGGTCAGTGCCCCCCCCCCCCACTTTTTCAAGTACCCCCAGTATGCCCCTTTTATGGCCTTTTCACATAGGTAAAGTGCCATATTACTTTGACAAGTTCCCCTATAAATTTGTAAAATTGCCCCTTCCCCATTTCACCTCTGATAAGTGCCCCTTATCCTTCGACAAGTTCCCATTATTCTATGCAATAAGTGTTCATTTTCCATTCTCATAACTGCCCTTTTTAATCTCTAGTAAGTGCCCCTTTTCAACTACGAGAAATGCCCCTTTTCACTTTTGATAAGTGCCCCCTCCATCTCCTGATTAGTGCTCTTTTCATCTCTGATGAGTGTCCCATTTTGTCTCTAATAACTGCCACTTTTATTTGACACGCCCCCTTTTCCTTCCTAATAAATGCTCTTTTTTCTGATCATAAGTACCCCTTACCCTTCTCATAATTACCCCTTTTCATCTCTCATAAGTGCCTTGTTTACTTAACATGTGCCTCTTTTCCTTTTTAATAAGAGCCACTTCCCCGTTTTCAGAATAGCCCCCTTTCACCTCCAATAAATGCCCCTATTAAAATCTGATCTGCACCTCCCTTTTTGTCTCGCCTACAAGCAAAAAGTGAGACATAGGCGCTGCTTTTCCGGTGACGGCGGCGGCGACGGCGTCAACATCAAAAACTTAACCTAAGGTTAAGTTTTTGAATTTTTGATATTATTTTTAAAGTTTAAGTTTTTAGTCAATGAAACTTAGACTATAGGGTTATCAAGTATTCCCAATCACGTGAGAATTCCCATTCTCATAAGTGCCTTTTTTCATTCCTGGTGAGTGCCTCTTTCTGTAGGTCTAAGAAGTGCCCCATTTTCACCTCTGATAATTACCCTTTTTACATGACACATGCTCCTTTTCCCCTTATCCCTTTAGTGTCCCCTTTTCCTCTCATCATTAAACGCGCCCCTAATTTCAAGCGACTAAGAGTAACTTCCCCCAAAGCTCGCTCGCATTTATAGATGATATAATTACGTTACTTATTAAAGGTCTTTTCAGTCATCCATTGTGAGAATGTGCTTATAACCCCATCAGGATTGGGTTTTTCCCTCTTAATAAGATGCAATTTTTTGTACTGCAATATCTTGTATAATAATAATAATAATAACCTAGACTTATATAGCGCATTTCATCTTCGAAGAAAATAGCAATGCGCTTTACAATATTACAATATTAATACAACAAAATTACACATAACAACTGATTCATGAACTAAAGATATATATGTATGGTGTATAAAGAGAAACAAATGTTGAAATCGTCCCTGATAATGTAATCACAATGTAGGGGTATATACCATTGTCTAAAAAATGGATATTTTCGCTTTGAGATTCCCTTTTTTTCCAGAAAGTGCCTATTTTGTTGGTGCCCCCCCCCCACTTTGGAAGACGCTCCGCCACTCCTGGGGGGACACATCAGTCAAAAGCGCGCACAGGGGGGGGGGGTTGAGGGGTAATGTGCCCCCCTCCGAAGCTGAATTTTTGAACCTGGATTTTGTCAAACTCCCAATAGATAAATATCATTCACAATTCTCTTCAAGCAGTACGTGTAACTTCACCTTGCAAGCAGTATGTTTAATTTTTTAATCACCTTGTATATTAGGCCCTGTATTTCAGCTCAAATTGTTTAGTGATTGTGGACAGGCGAAGCAGGAAAATAGAAAATTTGGCCTTCATACACACAACCACACCAGTGACACCATGAAACAGAAACACTATTACAATGATTACCGGTACTGAAACATAGTTTTCAAACTACCGAGGAGAGGTAACCAGGAACCAAGGTATAATACAATGATGCAATTTTACCCATGTTGTAGTAGTACATGGTAGTAGTATGGATATCCCGCCTCTTCTTTTATGCACATCCTTTCCACTGCTATCGCAAGTTTTAAAAAAAGGGCCCAATGTCTGCATAACTAAGCAAGGTAGGAGTTCATTAAAAACATGATGTAAAACATTAAGTATATCACACTAAAGCATCTCAATCTGACAGCACGATGTGGAGAAAAGTTAATGGTGTAGATAAATACACAACAAATATGTTCATCGGCAGTCTAAGTCAAGCAATCATTTATAAAACTGAGGCTTTGCCAAGGCATCCATTTTAAGTATGTGTCTATAGGGCAAATAAGATGTAGTCAAGTATTCAAGTTACCACCTGTCAGCCAAGATCAAACTTTTGGAATATAAGAGTTTTGGGGAGGGGTCATCTTTTATCAATTTCTGTTTATTGATAATAATTATAACATTTGGGAATGGGCCTATGAGTATGATTTATATATTGTATAAAACAAGCAACTGTTAATAAAAGGTCTGATATACCTTGGTGCGTGTGTGGACCACGGAGTAACCATCACACTAAAGGATGTTATATACTATTGTACAGTATTATTGTTTCTCTGGAAAAAATTGCAGTCATTGAGTCATAGGTTTTTTTTTTTTTTTAAGAAATGTTTTTATAATGTGTTTTATAATGAAGGGTGCAGGTCATGATACAATACATTCCCTGGAGAAAAAAATAGTGCTCAGATTTAGCCTAAGTATGCTTTGTTGAATTTTTAAAGAAAAAAGTAATCTAGAAATGGAAGTAGCAGATGAGGTCATTTGTGCTTAATATTTGACCATCAATGTTATAATCTGTAAACATATTAGTTTGTTGTAATAAAATGAATAAATTAAACATGTTTATTATCTTATATACAGTATTCCCTTCATATCTTTTCTTTTTAGTGTGCATATATGGTTGGATAAATAGAATCATATGTGGAAAAAATCTGGAAACAGAAGGTGAGAATTCAGAGAGAGAGAGAGAGCAAAAGAGAAAGGAAAGGAAATGAGAGAACTGTTTAATGGTGAGAGATGTTGGATGTCGTGAAAATGAAAAATTTATAATGCAGTGAGACAGCGAGAGAGAGAGAAAAAAAATTTAAAAATCCATCTTATAAATGCATTAATCGCCTCGCCGCAATGCGGCTCGTGGGCGATGCTCTGCATCGTCATAGGGACAACCCCCCCCCCCCCCCCCTTAGCAAAAAGCTAGATCCGCCGCCCCCCCCCCCCCCCTGATAGGCCCTGACAATGAAATCTGGAGAACATACAGTTTCACAAGGGCTGGACTACTCGGTCTCGTGGATCAAATAAAGAAATAATGGAAGTTATTATAAAAGTATGTTTTTCTCTCTTGTTATGATAATTGGAGAAAAAAACCCTGTTAATTAGAGTATATTAGTTTTAGCTTCAACTGTTTGATATTAATATGCATGTGGGCACAAATAGCAGCAACTGCGATAAGTGATATCTACGGTATTCCTTGAGCTGCGGTAAATGATCTTATTGTATATGCCACTTACTGGTTTTCCATAGACCTGTGCACAAATGTTATCATATAATGCTATTTTTAAAAAAATTCAATAGGATGGTGTACAAATCGAATATATTATGCCATTCTTTCCACTTAACTTCATGTTATTCAATATCCGTGTCATTCAAACAATACAGGCAAACATTCCCTGATGTCAAGTTTACATCAATCTATCTTGCTTCTCTCCTTATAAACAAGCCATCTTCATTGGAATTCACATCCTGAATTCCAATGAAGATAGACACCTCTCTTGCATTGTACATGAAATATCCATTCACTGATCTCCGCATGAAGTACCCTCAATTTTACGCACAGAAAGCTCACACTAACCCGTAACCAAAACCACCCTGAAATGATGACAATATTCAAAAGATCAATTCATTTGTAATCAGGTGTGGATTTTAATTCATTTGATCCCTTGATAGTCTGGGTTCGGTATACCGAAACAGGGGAGGGAACAGCTTGTGGCGTGGAACCATAAGGACCAACGAGGTTCTTTTGGGACATAGTTTATATAAAATTACCAAGCTGAAACCTACCCTAATACCAGTCACATAAATCAATGCTCAACTGAGTATTTGTTGCGTTTTCCTCAATCATGACTTGTTGAGTTTTGTGCAGAAGTGCTACAATCCATTGTTTGAGAAATATATAGCGAGTAGTCCAAATCTGGAGGGTCGCAAACTCCTTCTCAACCTCCATTGTTACATCTTGATTCCTGAAGAGCCTTGTGATTTGAGATGAACTTGGGAGAAGTTCCCACGTCGTTTTGGAGGCACACGCTCCTTGTGCTGACTGCTCCTCTTCAGCAACTACTACAGACAAGTCCACTTGTATCTTTGTAACCAATTCCAATAAGCCAGCTGTTCATGAATAAAATGTTAATTGAAAGAAGAAAAAAAAATCCAATATTGTTACAAGCACTTTAAGATCTAAAGCTGACATCACAAGTATATTTCTTTTTCTTCTTTCTTGTTGTTTTTCTTCTTCTAGTAATCTTCAAAGGGCTATTAGTTTTATATAAATTCACTGTTTGCTCAACAGGAGTACATTCCTTATTTTCTGTGCCAACGAGAGATCCCAGATTAAAATATTACTTCTCATTATGGTCTGAAATGAAATACCATATTGCCAAACATGTATTTTATTACTAATATACTACATGTCTGAGTAAAAGATCTAATCAAACATTCCGACCATTGTTTTAAAGACCGTCAATACTACTGGGCCAGAAGGGATTAGACCACCCAGCCAGGTCACTGACAGGTGGCTATCTCATCAACTCAGCTCTCAACTAACATAAGAGAGGATCATGGGGGACCAACAGACACCGATTGGGGAAGTTTTCTATATAGAGAGAGCAAGTAGGACAGTGGGGCTTTAAGAATAGCAATTAGCATTCATAAAAATGGCATAGAATTTACATCCTTAAACTTTAAGCTTTGCAAACGTCGTTTTGATTTGAGTGTAACTTTTGAGTTATTAACAACCAAAAGTTTCCAGTGATTTGTTTTTGTTTCACTTTTAGTACACAAACATATTTTTCTTTATCACACTTGCAGGATATAATCATATAAGATAATTTGATGTTGTACTGCTAGCCTGCCCCCCCCCTACCCCTCTATTATACGAGTGTGAAAAAAAATACAATTCTTTGTAGCCTTTCTTGATAACTAATCAAAAATTTTAACTTCAGTTAATGTTGTTTAAAGAATATATTATGAAAGTGAGATGGATTGCAGGTGGCAAGGGTGTATTGGTTGAGAATTGCAGGTAATAATTCATGCTCTACTATGAGCCAACTTACTTCACACACTATCATCTTGCAGCAGGGTAAGGTTTTTACAGAAATTTTAGAACTTGCAATGGGATGTACTTAAATATCAACTTTGTACAATAGCAGTATGTAGACAGGAATTTAGGATAACCTGACTTTGGGTCTGCCAATGCTTAACACAAGCTTTATTTCATCAAGATATGGTTATTGCTCAAGTTGTGATAGGGTTTTAAATTAGCTTTAGGGTTAATATTACGTTTAGCTATGGATCCAGGATTAAGATTAAGAATTCATTTTGTGTTACAACATAACCACTAAACAATAGAGCAGGTCGTAAAAATCAGATACACGTTTCACAAACTGGGGGTCAGCGTATTTTTAGTTTACTAATACAAAGGAAGATTTTTAAACTGCCAATGATGAGTATCAATACATACAGCTCCACCAGCACCTGGAAAATCTGATTGTACGACACTTGTTCCTCAAGACATTTGCTCAACATCAATTTCCTACACTATTATCCAAATACTTAACTTCATCCCAGGATCCAACACTAGACCTTACCCTATACCTAACCTCAATCCCAATTGCAACCCTCGGCCTAACCCTACACATTTGACAAATAAAGCCTTGAGCAGTCGTTGCAGGAGCAAATGTTTGGTCACTCGAAATGCCATGACAGGCTCACTTGCTATGACTTTATCTGTTTCTTTACCAGATTTTAAAAAAACCATTGTAATATTCATTATTAATTACCAGTCCATTGTGCTTTGCTCCTAATATGTCAGGCACAAGAGGCCATCGCTTTCAGGTAAGGGGCAGAACATCAAGAGTGGAACCTCAAGGCACCCCCTGATCTGTCAACAGGAAGCCCTCCTTCTCAATCCCTGGAACAGAATTATAAACAACTCAATAAATATTAACCAAATTTGAAATAAATAGCACTATTTAATATTTTAGTTGTCTTTAACGTTTACTTTTTCAGCAAAATTTGAAGGTCAATTGTTTTTTTGTTTTTTTTTGCTTGTCGTTCCTTTTCATGTATTGGACCCCCCCCCCCCTTTCCCCCGCACATGAGCTTAAAATGTTAATTTTAAAAAGAGAAACACTTCAGCAACGTGTTAGTAGACATGTGGATTCATACATAGCCATCCCATGAATACATACTTCTCAAACCAGCCCTTTGCATCCCCTTCAGTTTGACCTTGACCTCACCTATTCAAAATTTTGTTTTACTTGAAAAAAACTAAACAGATCAAGTTGGATCAAAAGTAAATATGTTTACCTTCTCTTGTGGTGGTCTGTTTTCTCCAGGACATTCTTGTTTCAAGCACATACTCCAAGAAAGCAAGCATTTGGTACTGCATTAACTGCAACAAGTCTCTGTACATTTTCCTGTAAAAGAGAGGGGGGGGGGGTTTAATTCTTAGAATAAAAGGAAATGAGCATGATCATTAAAACATTGATGAGCATTTGCAGAATTAACTGTTCTCTTTTGGATTTTCTCTTTACCAAAAAATCCCTCCTTCATTATCTAACATTGAAATTTATATTCAATTCCTTGATCCAGATCTAGTTGATCTACAGTCTCTAGATGATCTAGATGCATGTCTCGTAACTGTTCATTCTATCAAATTGAAAAAACGCAAAATAGATATGGACCTAGATCTATATATGACAGAGAAAACTTAATCGTGTTTACAGCAAACAAAAATTCAAAGATAGAGCCTAGAGCAGAGGCAAATTAGGCTAAGCCAACAAAGAGTTTAAGAAACACACAGGCACCACTATATACGTACGCCTGTATACAGTGTAGTCTAATTTTGGGGGATCATGTTTTAATTTGTTAGACAGCTATGAGACTCTGTATGACTACGAGTATCACATTCACAGGCAGGCACGGATCCAGGGGGGCCGCCCCCCCCCCTCCCACCCGCAAAAAATAAAAAGAGAGAGAGAGAGAGAGAAGGAAAAGAAGGAAAAGAAGGGGAAAAGGAGAGAAAGGGAAGGAAAAAGGAGAGAAAGGGAAAGAAAGAAGAGGAAGAGGAAAAGAAAAGGGGGAAAAGAAGCAGATCGGGGGGCCAAAAGAGCCTTGCCTCCCAGCTGTAACCTCTCCCCCTCCCCCCATCAAAAAATAAAAGAGAAGGAAGGAAAGGGAAAGAAAAAAAGTAAAGAGGGGATAAAGAGAAGGAAAAAAGAGGAAGAAGAAAAGAAGGGGGAAATCAGTTGCAATTTTCCCGCCAACAAGTTGTAGTTCGGGGGGGGGGGGGGGGGGGGGGCAAAGGCCCTTGCCTCCTCCTCCCTCCCCCCCCCCCCAAAAAAAAAAGGAGAAGGAAGGGAAAGGGATAGAGGAGAGCTAAAAGGGAACAAAAAAGAGGAAGAAGAAAAGAAAAGGGTGATAAGAAGAGGAGAACAGTTGCGATTAATCCCGCCAACAATGTGTGGATCTGGGAGGGGGGCCAAAAGGCCCTTGCCTCCCCCTAGCAAACCTAAAACAGAGAGTAGGAAGGGAAAGGAAAGGGAAATAGGCAGGGGCGTAGACAACGGGGGGGATGAGG